GGGAACCTTCTCCCCCACGCCAGCCGTGGCGCGGCGGGGCGGCGGGGATTGCCCAGACACTGTCCCGGCTAAGCTGAGCCCTGTCCGTCAGCGAGAAGGGTGCGCGGCCCAGACCGCACGCAGGTAGGCGGAACGGATGCTCGAGCCAGCCGTCTAGCGTCGCACGCGCCATCTCGTGAGCGGTAGAAAAACCCTAGCCTACCCCCAGGCCAAACCCTAGCCTGCGCCCCAAAACGTGCTTCACGCTGGGCAGCGTCGTGCAGCCACACTGTTAAAAACCACGAAGAAACTACCATAGGCTGTAGACCCAACTTTATGCCCTCTACCATGACTCTTCCGGTCCATACCCGATCAAATGCGACTCAGGTAGATGGCCATAGCCTTGTCCACAGGCCCATTGGGGACACCAGACAAGTTCACCTCAGAGAGGTTGATTTCGATATGATCTTCTAGTATCCCCAACATTCAATTTTGCCAATGAAAAAAGGGGGGGGGGTCAGGAAATAAGATCCACCCTACCCCGCATGCCGTGTATCTTATGGCCACTTATGGCCGAAATCCTCCTCTCGCTCATGTTAACCTCGCCTTTTTCTGCCATTTTCCAAGTGTTATTTGCTCACTCTAAATGAAGGAATTGAGATACAAAGCTGAATTTTGGCGTGTGGCGAGCCAAGGCTACACCTCATGATCCATGGTCCTAGACCTATATTGTGACTCTGGAGCTCAAAACATCTAGAATTTTGACCATTGCCACCGGTCTGAAAAGCATAATCGTCAATAGTCAACTTCGACCGCTGTCAATCGGCTCTGGAATGCCCCAGGAGCTGAAAAGTAATTTACGTGGATGGGCGAGCTGGGGCGCCCCATGGCGTCGGCATGCAGTGACGACAAACCGCCCCATTGTTCAACCTCATACCCCTCTCTGGGGGGAGGGGGCGCTGCGGCTTTATGGCCTCCGGGGCCTCAACATCGTCAGGCACGTGATTTTCCTAAACACAAATAACGATTCAGGACAGCGCCGCGGGCACAACACTCGTTCGATTTTAACAAGAATTTAAACTAACAAAACGACACTGCTCTGGCGGCCCAACAACAAAGGCAGGGCTCGCCACGGCCCGTATTCCGGGAATTTGCGCGCGAACAGGACAGGATGGCCTGTTGCAGCCTGCCGGCGACGGCCGGCGTTAGAACGTTCTAGAAAAAACAGGAAAAGACATGAAGTGACGATGTTACGACAACCTAACCCACACACCTACTCAGTTAAGAGCCAAAATTGACGCGTTCAGAGAGTAACAACAAGCCGAACAAGAGATTGAACACGATAAACGACATGACTGCAGAAACACGGAATGAAATAAACTGCCCTTGAGAACACTGATTTCGACATCCCGAACCAAATAAATTGAAAGAACTTCCTTCGTAAATATACGGACTTTATTTTTGACAGTGTGGGCTCAGTCTCTCATGCAGCCCTGCCACACAGTGCCAGATGGGTTTTGTTACGTCTGGTGCACAACTCACCTGAAAGAGCTTCACCACAAACCGCTTTCCCATCCACCATGGTGCATCCGAACTCGTGCTCTACTTCCACTTCAATAATTCCAATTGTAACTTTTGAAGGCGTTTGAGCATTCTTTCTCTCATCAATGTTTGATTTTCCTTGAAGGGTAAAATCAGGAGTTTCTCTGTGAAATTCTATTTTCATTTGGCCGGCACAGGCGGGTGTGGGTGGTTTATTATTATTATTATGTACAAACATTTTGACATCACCACTGGGGCTAACAACAACACACCTCTGAGAAGTGAAACATTCCTGAACAGAGTAATAAACACAATGCATGTCTAGTGGCCTTCTCGGGGTTGGCATCATCAGGCCTACACTGAAAAAAAAGTCTAGTAACGATAACCAGAATCCTGGTACCAAATACCAGACTGTCTGATAGAATATAACTCAACTAGAATTCTGGTAAAAAATACTAAACTGTCTAGTTGGCCTCAGTCTAGTAAACCGTACCAGATTTATAGTTATCCTCACAATGCCGCCAGGTCCCCTTCTGGTAGTTTTTACCAAACATCCTGGTTAGTTAATGTGCTTACAAAACTGAAATAAGAAGTCCAAAATTTAATAAAATATTTTTTAGTAGTGATGAAACCTGATATGACGTCGATTTCGTTAACGAACAACCTCTGAATTGTTCTTTTCCCTCCTCCTCTCCTCCGGATTCGAACCGGGATCTCACACTTGTGAGACGGGCACGTTACCACTGCGCCACCACGTCGCCTGTGGGTCGAGGGGATCCCCACCAGGTGACTCTCTACGTGTCTGGCTCAGGGAAATACTCCCAGTGTTTCTTTCGGATTTAAGACTCCGAAAATAACGAAACCGGTTGCAGTTTACTTTTTGACACCCGAACATTTCAATTAAAACGAATATTTCGAAGTTTTACGTATGGTGCCAATTACGGAACAGTCTGGTAAGATTTACCAGGATTATTAACCAGACACCTGGTAAATGTCACAACACCCGATCTGGTTACTGCAACTGATCATCTGGTGAGAGTTACTAGGATTCTCGTATGAGTAACTAGTACTCGTTTAACTAGGATTGGTCTGGTACTTTTAACCAGACTTTTTTCTCAGTGTAAACGGATGTCCCAATGAGGAGAGTACAAGCTCAATGGAGGCACAGTGGCCAGCAGTGTGCACGGCTTTTACATTCCCCTCATTGATATCGTCGCCCATCGTTGCCTTCCAGACCTTCTCCACGTACCCCGACAGGCTGGGCCGGTCACTCCCGGTGTGATGGTTAGTGCTGAACCAGTTCAGCGTGGTAGCCATGTTACTGTTTCAGCACTCCCCACCTTCCTCGACGATGTCGCAGCGTCTATGGCGTCCTTATGGGTCTCATACACTCTCATTCCAGGAACGTGACATCACGTTAAAACGAACGTGACAAACTGTCACGTTCGTTTGAGCATTGTGTCACATTCGTTTGGGTGTGAATTGGCCGAAAATCAGCTCGTTCACATTCAAACGAACGTGACACAATGCTCAAACGAACGTGACACTTTGTCACGTTCGTTTCAACGTGCTGTCACGTTCCTGGAATGAGAGTGTAGTACTCCGTGACCGCATTATCGACAGTAGTGACAGTGGACGTGTCTCCGCAGCTTTGGATGTCCATCCGGACATGATAACAGCCGCTGCCTGCAGCTGCAGAAAATTCTTTCTGATCGGATGTATCCTTCATGTGCGCCCAAGCAGCTGCATAACACGCCGGCTTCCCAACTGTCATTCCTGCTCCGACAAGGACGGGTAGCTTTAGGGAATCGTCAAGCGCAGGATCCACACCTGCCGCAATCCCAAGCTCTGTCTTCCCGTTGACAAGCAGGCGATTCATTTTGCGGACAGATGTGTTCCTAATTCACCAACAACGAAAGAGAGAACTCACGGTTTGATGGGTGTCAACAAAAAGTTGTGAGCTAAGACCAAAGGAATGTGTTTTGGCCGGAACTCCAGGAACTCATGTAATATGTGTGTGTTCATCATCAGAATCCTGTGTCGATGTTTGAGGGTGCTAACTTGAAGAAGTCTGGCCTTGACTCTGTTAAGGACTGCAGAAAACTGTTGTTGTGTTCCGAGCCCTCTGTTGAGTGCTATTTACGTAAGGCTAATGCTTAGGTCTTTTGAGTCTTTTGAATCAAAGGGCGTGCCTAAAATGGACCTGCTGTTGGATCGGCACCAATTAATTTCCCCGGTGACGTGGCATTTCTCGACGAAGTGGAGAAGGATATGTGTAACCGTCACGAATCCATAGTATACTATCTCCGAACAGCATAAGGTTTCGTGAGCTGCGGGCCCCGCCAAACAAGCTTTTGGTTGTCGATTGTCAACGACAGGTGCCGTGCCCGCTCAAGCTCCTCCTTTCTGTGGGTTTAGACCTCAGGCCTTTCACCAAGGTTATGACCACAATGCCAAAAAAATCAGTTGTTATCTACATATCATGAGTTGGCTTTTTTTTTCAGAAACAATTTGTTTTGAAAATTAAAATTACAAATGATTGTAAATTGTTTTACAATGATGTTATGAAAATTCATATCCGTTGTTTGCGAGTTCATTTTAGGGTAGTAAAGCAAAAGGACAACTTGGTGTTCATGTATATGAACACCTATCCGGCCTTATGCCAATTTTTGAACCGATTCTTCTTTTGATCAGCGGGTTTCGAACCCAGGATCTTTGACTTGTGGTGCACGCCCACGCTCTTTACCGCTGTGCTACCACCACGCCCCACGGGAGGCAGAGGTTCAGCTGCCTGGTGACTCTGCAAGCGCCCCTTGGCTACGCCTCCTCAGCCTGTTATGAAATTTACAATCGTATTCGGAAAATTGCGGTCGTGTGCTCAAAACCAACATTGTAGTTTCGCAATTTTCAGAACACGATTTGAAAATTACCAACAACTGTCATCTAAATTGCTATGAAAATTCAAAACTTTTAACAGTGAGTTTGTTGTTGTTATTTCCCGTATGAAATATCGTTTCCCCTACACTGTGGCAAAAAGGTACGGAAAATTCTGTTAATTTTTTTGCCAGGATTCTCCGTAGCCCTCTTATCAATATTCTCCGTAGGCTCTTACAGTATTCTCCGTAGGACCTGGAAGACTGTATAGTCCTGCGGAGAACACTGTGAGGTCCTACGGAGAAAACTGTGCGGTCCTACGGAAAATACTGTAACAGCCTACGGAGAATACTGACATGGGGGCTACGGAGAATTACCACAAGCTGGTTACAGAATTTTCCGTAGCTTTTTGCCACAGTTCAATATTAGAAGTGGTTGCGCCTGGGCACATTTGTTTTGTTTGTTCATATTTCTTCTCAGTATTGTTACATCGCGATATGGGGCCGTCATGCTTTGGTCAAACTTGCCAGAGACTCGTAAGTCACGAACTCTCGCTGTTTCGATAAAGCCGGTCACGATGCGCCAAGGCCTTGCCACGTGTCATGATAAATAAGCTGCCGAGTCGCCACCCGGTGTTGGTTCCTTGAGGCCAAGAGACTCACTCGTCAACACCATGTCCAAGACAGCACTCGCTCTTTTCGCCGTTGCGGCTTTCGCCACCCTTGCTTCTGCACAGGTAGGAGGGTCAAATTTATTTAACGTGTCCCAACTTCTTGTATTCAAAAGCTCCGATTGTGACCAAATTTGGCAAATTTGCTTAGGGTACAGACGATTTTAACAAATCTAGGTTGCGGGCCATTTCACGCCAGACCACCGAACCCCTAAAATTGCGTATCGCTTTCTTTTGTTTCGCTTGACTGCCAGGGACCAAGACCCTGAAAACCCAAACCCAGGGATCTAGAAAAATATCCTACAGTAGGAATAGAGCACTTCAAATTTCAAATTTTTACTCAAGTTTTTATCTCCTTATTCCATTTCTGTCTTTGAACGCCAGTGTGGGTTTTACCTAATGTTTCCTTTTCTATTAGGGATTTAAGTGGGTTAAACACTCTACTGTAACTTACGAAAATTTGTCAAAATTACTGAATATATTCTCTTTTGAAAATGCGTTGGCATGGATTCGGACCATTTTTTGTTGAATGAAGGTAGTTATTGGTCCAACAAATCCCTGCAACTAAACCATTCACTTTGAGATGTCGGAAGTGACACTTTTGTTTGAAAGATCTAAGCACCGACATGTCGGTCGCGACAGTATTCTTCTCGTATGAAGGTCTGGTTGCCAAAATGACAGGAACATGAAAAAAGTTGATTCACTGAGAAGACAGGACCCATGTGCCACTAATTTCGAATGCATTGAGTATTGCATTGGAGCCAAGAGGGCGAAAACAACGTCCGGGTTTCCCCAGGCGCACCCTGCAATAACAGGCCCAAATTTTTTCAGGATGCGCCTGGGAAACCCGGACGTGTCTTTGCCGTGAGTTTCAAGATAACGATTTCAATTTCAACGTGAAGCACTAGTACACTGTGGCACAAAGGTACGGAAAATTCTGTTTATTTTTTTGCCAGGATTCTCCGTAGCCGTCTATTAATATTCTCCGTAGGCTCTTACAGTATTCTCCGTAGGACCGCACAGTCTTTTCCGTAGGACCTGGAAGAGGTACGGAAAATTCTGTTTATTTTTTTGCCGGGATTCTCCGTAGCCGTCTTATCAATATTCTCCGTAGGCACTTACAGTATTCTCCGTAGGACCGCACAGTCTTTTCCGTAGGACCTGGAAGACTGTGCGGTCCTACGGAAAATACTGTAAGAGCATACGGAGAATCCTGACAAGGTGGCTACGGAGAATTACTACAAGCTGGTTACAGAATTTTCCGTAGCTTTTTGCCATAGTGTGGTATTGACAAAATACCTTCGAAAACAGTTCAACACGCGCTAGCGCCCCTTCGGAATGGGACCGTCCCTTTTAAATCATAGGGATTCTTTCCTTGGGCTGTTTCCTGTTCCAGAACTCCAAGTATGCAGCCGAACTAACCAAAGCTGGAGAAAACGGCGGCCGCGCTGCCCGCGGAGTTCGACCAAGACTGGGTCAGCACCAGCTCCAAGGTGCGCTCGAACCGCATCTCGGCGCAGAACGCACTGCTCAAAGGCTTGCCCTCCGCCGAGGCCAAGGCCGCCTTCAACAAGGCCATCGCCGCGCTGGAACAGACCGCCGCCAGGGGGCAGACGTTCCTCACTGCGTTCAGGAAGCAACAGGGCACGCAGTTCACCGCCCTGGCCAACAAATACCTGAACCTCGCAAAGGTGCGCTGAAAAAGAAATCTTTGAAAAGTAACGAGAAAGTTTGGGTAATGTGGCTGAGTGGAATCTAGACAGTGTAAGCACTCGCTTAAAAAGCCTCTCGTAAAGGGTCTCGAAACGGAAGGACACATAAAAGCTATATTAACGGCTTCTACGGATGCGCAGATGTTCTCTCACCACCAGATGCACTGATAGAGATTTTGTCGTAACTTAGCTACACATTTGATGCTATTTTTTGTAACGACAAGGTTTGTTGTGGGACGAATAGCTTGTTAAACCCTGGTCGTACTGGAACTATTGGATAATTTCACAACGGCATACTTGTAATAACACAAACAGCCCACCTTCAAAACCAAGTCGTTGACCAACAATAGTCGACGAAAAGTATTGTAAGTCGAAAAAGAATTTGTAGTAAATTTAGTTTTCGTGGTTCTACGTTTAATAGTAGTAGTAATTTCCATGTGACTAAAAAGATGCAGATTATCATAGTATATTTTCATTGAGCAGATGATGTCAAAATTTGCTTCGCTTTGGTTCATGGTGTATGTTCTGGAACGACTAAGTTTTCATACATCGGATTGTTTCTGAACAACCATGTTTTGAATGTTTGCATGCGCAGAAGCCGTTATTAGGGCATACTCACTGTGCTAAAAAGGTACGCAAAATTCTGTTAATTTTTTGCCAAGAATCTCCCTAGCCAGTCTTCTCCGTCGGACCTGAAAACTCGGGGTTGGCATCATCGGGCCTAAACGGATGTCCCAATGGAGGAGAGTACAAGCTTAGTGGAGGCCCAGTGGCCAGCAGTCTGCACGGCCTTTACATTCCCCTCATTGATATCGTCGCCCATCGTTGCCTTCCAGACTTTCTCCACGTACCCCGACAGGCTGGACCGGTCACTCCCGGTGTGATGGTTGGTGCTGAACCAGTTTAGCTTGGTAGCCATTATTACTGTTTCAGCACTCCCCACCTTCTTCGACGATGTCGCAGTGTCTATGGCGTACTTATGGGTCTCGTAGTACTCCGTGACCGCATTATCGACAGTAGTGACAGTGGACGTGTCTCCGCAGCTTTGGATGTCCAGCCGGACATGATAACAGCCGCTGCCTGCAGCTGCAGAAAATTCTTTCTGATCGGATGTATCCTTCATGTGCGCCCATGCAGCTGCATAACACGCCGACTTCCCAACTGTCATTCCTGCTCCGACAAGGACGGGTAGCTTTAGGGAATCGTCAAGCGCAGGATCCACACCTGCCGCAATCCCAAGCTCTGTCTTGCCGCTGACAAGCAGGCGATTCATTTTGCGGACAGATGTGTTCCTAATTCACCAACAACGAAAGAGACAACTCACGGTTTGATAGGTGTCAACAAAGCAGGCGCGGATCCAGGATTTCCGTTTAGGGGGGGCACTTTTGGCAGATGTGTATCACAGGTTGCCTACATACAGGGGCATGATCGCCGATATTGAGACGTTCCGCCGCATTGACCGTTAAAAGAGTATAGTGGGCCATTCTCGCAGCAAAGTACGCATTTGAATACTCTTAATCGAAGTGTGAGTGGATAGCAGGTTTTGAACAATAAACGTCGCGTGGTTTGCGGCGAGCAAAGCGAGCCGCAAGCTACTGACCTTTTTTAAAATTTTGGGCTGAATTTTTGTTTTTTTTAAAGGGTTTTTTATGTAAAAACAACAGAGCAGAGCGAGCCACAAGCCACTGATTTTTAAAAATTTAGGAGTGGCGTTTTATTGGATCTAGAAAGGTTCTTAAGTAACCCTACGGGTTTGTTTATGGGTTAAAGGATGGATGTAGTTATTGCCGGCGAGCGTAGCGAGCCGCAAGCTTCATACTTTCTCATAATCGAGGCTCAACTTTAACAAGAGTCCAAAGTTTTTAATCTAAAAAGCAAAGAGAAACACAGATACTTTGCGAGCGAAGAAAACCCCCAAGCCATGGGCCGTTCAAATTTAGACTGGCGTTTAGAAGAGGTTTCTTTTAAAAGACTAAAAAAATTTTCCCGATACCCGAACCAGCTACCCAGGTCCGCATAAAACCCCACCAATACTATTCTATATTCCTATTAGTTTCAAGGCTATGACTTAGACCGAATCGGCAATTACTTGTCACCAAGCCTGTTCCATGTTGCGAGCGAAGCGAGCTGAAAGCTCCGCACTTCAAATTCAAACTTTCCAATTTTTCCGCTTATCTTTACTCATTCTTTCCTTTTCTTCTCCTCTCCTCTTTCGTCCCTCCTCTCTTTCTCCCTTCTCTCCCTTTTTTCCCATGCGCGTCTGTTTTTTTGGGGGGGGGCACTCGCCCCCGGTGCCCCCCCCTTGGATCCGCGCCTGCAACAAAGAGTAAGTTGTGAGCTAAGACCAAAGGAATGTGTTTTGGCCGGAACTCCAGGAACTCATGTAATATGTGTGTGTTCATCATCAGAATCCTGTGTTGATGTTTGAGGGTGCTAACTTGAAGAAGTCTGGCCTTGACTCTGTTAAGGACTGCAGAAAACTGTTGTTGTGTTCCGAGCCCTCTGTTGAGTGCTATTTACGTAAGGTTAATGCTTAGGTCTTTTGAGTCTCTTTTGAATCAAAGGGCGTGCCTAAAATGGAGCTGCTGTTGGATCGGCACCAATAAATTTCCCCGGTGACATGGGATTTCTCGACGAAGTCGAGAAGGATATGTGTAACCGTCACGAATCCAAGTTGTTAGTATACCATCTGGGCGATTCCATGTCAAACCAACGAACGCTTGGAATTTCATCTCTCCGATTTTGATGAAACTTTTTTGGGGGGTAGGGGTCATCATAAAAAGACCCCCTGCCAAAGGGTTTTGCGATATCTCACCCCGTTTGGCTGTGGCAGGATATCAAAGTTTTAGCTTTAGTCAAAATCATGATATTTTCTTAAGTTTCCTCTTTTCTAACAGATTTTTTTTGGATTTTTTTCCATAGTGTTTTTTTGCGTAAAAAGAGCTGGGGAACACGATGAAAACGGTTTTGAGACGATTACGTGAAGTTTGGATGCCAAAATTTTCATTTTTCGTCATATTTTTTCGAAAAATTGCCATTCCCAAAATAGCTCATCTTCGATTTCGACCTAACTTTCACCAAATGATCTCCTAACATAGTGGAACAAAACCCTAAAAGGGTTTGGTCGGCCCGCCCATAGGACCTGAGAAACCGCAAAAACAAATTTTGAATAACAGGAAAAGTAGCGATATACACCGGCAACTTTGGCCCGTCCCGTACATTAAGAAACGTACGAATTTCTCCTATGTTTGACCCTGACGGGAATTAAATCTGAGTCTGGGGTTAAAATAAATGTCGTTTTCGTCATCAGCACCCTCAAAAACATCAGAAACAATGCAAAAACTCGAAAAAAAAGAATGTTCCAAAAATACCCCGCTGGGATTTGAACCCGGGTCCGAACTTCTCCGATTTGCTCGAAACTGGCACCATTGGTTTTCTCTCGTCGCCCCGATTCCAAAAATACCCCTACATGCCCTCCTAGCTGCATCCGTTGCCGAGATCCTCCTCGACCCCATGTAGACCATGATGCACCTGCAGCAGCGCCCCCGGGGCTCGGATCGGATTTGCTGCCACCGGGCGGTTGTTAGGGTCACCCAAGGAGGCTGCATACCAAATTTGGTCAAGATCGGACCACGGGAAGTCCTCGGACGAACGGACGAACGAACGAACGAACGAACGAACGGACGCACAGCATGCATCATACTATATGCCCGTCCCTCCGTCATTTTTTTACAAAAAATAAACGGGACGGGCCAAAAATCACCAAAATCGTGTATTTGAGGTGGTGGTGGTGGTGTGGGTTCTTGCTTGCGCTGCGCAGCCGTCTGTTCTGGTCAACATCGACTTCCCCGCTCGGCGTGCGAAGGAAAAACCACCCGCCAGGAGCGCCTGTGAAGCTCGGATAGGCAACCCGCAGGCCAGAGTGCGCATGTGCGTGCGTTGTGTTGCATACCTTCCATTACCATTACCACTAAGGGCTAGACCACACATGAGTTAACTGAACTTCACTTGAAAGGTTAGACCACAATCAATCGTGTGTACAAGTCTATGTATGTTCTGTTACAATGGTGAACAATTCATGTTGTAGAGGCGGAAGAAAAGGGGGGAGAGTTGAATTAGATAACGGTAAATACCCATTATTTACTCAATTTTAATTTTGTACGCAAATGAAAAAAAAAAACTTAATTTTTCAATTTTTTATAGTTGATTACTAGAAGTTGCCATCTTACTCTGATCTTGTCTGTGCTGGTTTATTTGGTGGAACAAAAATATGATAATTGAAATTTATTATTTTACCACTGTGGATTTTCCAACTGTTAAAATCTTGTTTTCAGGTTCATCTATTACTATTTAACGGACAATATTGAAGAGCCTGTGCAGCTTGAAAACGTTCTAGCAAAAGTTGATATTATTAAAGTACCAAATAAACCATATTGTGTGCTATCTAGCACAGACAAGATCAGAGTAAGATGGCAACTTCTAGTAATCAATTATAAAAAAAATGAAAAAATGAGTTTTTTTTTCATTTGCGTACAAAATTAAAATTGAGTAAATAATGGGTATTTACCATTATCTAATTTAACTCCCCCCCCTTTTCTTCCGCCTCTACAACATGAATTGTTCACCATTTTAACAAAAAGAAACATAGACTTGTACACACGATTGATTGTGGTCTAGCCTTTTCAAGTGAAGTTCAGTTGGTGTGGTCTAGCCCTTAGTGGTAATGGTAATGGAAGGTATGCAACACAACGCACGCACATGCGCACTCTGGCCTGTGGGTTGCCTATACGAGCTTCACAGGCGCTCCTGGCGGGTGGTTTTCCTTCGCACGCCGAGCGGGGAAGTCGATGTTGACCAGAACAGACGGCTGCGCAGCGCAGGCAAGAACCCACACCACCACCACCACCACCACCACCACCACCTCAAATACAAGATTTTGGTGATTTTTCAAAATTTGTTTTTGCGATTTCTCAGGTCCTATGGGCGGGCCGACCAAACCCTTTTAGGGTTTTGTTCCACTATGTTAGGAGATCATTTGGTGAAAGTTAGGTCGAAATCGAAGATAAGCTATTTTGGGAATGGCAATTTTTCGAAAAAATATGACGAAAATGAAAATTTTGGCATCAAAACTTCACCTAATCGTCTCGAAACCGTTTTCATCGTGTTCCCCAGCTCTTTTTACGTAAAAAAACACTGGAAAAAAATCCAAAAAAACTCAGCAAGAAAAGAGTAAATTTAAGAAAATATCATGACTTTGACTAAGGCTAAAACTTTGATATCCTGCCACAGCCAAACGGGGTGAGATATCGCAAAACCCTTTGGCAGGGGGTCTTTTTATAATGACCCCTACCCCCCAAAAAAGTTTCATCAAAATCGGAGAGATGAAATTCCAAGCGTTCGTTGGTTTGGCATGGAATCGCCCATCTCCGAACAGCATTAGGTTTCGTGAGCCGCAGGCCCCGCCAAACAAGCTTTTGGTTGTCGGTTGTCAACGACAGGTGCCGTGCCCGCTCAAGCTCCTCCTTTCTGTGGGTTTTAGACCTCAGGCCTTTCACCAAGGTTTTGACCACAATGCCAAAAAAATCAGTTGTTATCTACATAATATGAGTTGGCTTTTTTTTTCAGAAACAATTTGTTTTGAAAATTAAAATTACAAATGATTGTAAATTGTTTTACAATGATGTTATGAAAATTCATATCCGTTGTTTGCGAGTTCATTTTAGGGTAGTAAAGCAAAAGGACAACTTGGTGTTCATGTATATGAACACCTATCCGGCCTTATGCCAATTTTTGAACCGATTCTTCTTTTGATCAGCGGGTTTCGAACCCAGGATCTTTGACTTGTGGTGCACGCCCACGCTCTTTACCGCTGTGCTACCACCACGCCCCACGGGAGGCAGAGGTTCAGCTGCCTGGTGACTCTGCAAGCGCCCCTTGGCTACGCCTCCTCAGCCTGTTATGAAATTTACAATCGTATTCGGAAAATTGCGGTCGTGTGCTCAAAACCAACATTGTAGTTTCGCAATTTTCAGAACACGATTTGAAAATTACCAACAACTGTCATCTAAATTGCTATGAAAATTCAAAACTTTTAACAGTGAGTTTGTTGTTGTTATTTCCCGTATGAAATATCGTTTCCCCTACACTGTGGCAAAAAGGTACGGAAAATTCTGTTAATTTTTTTGCCAGGATTCTCCGTAGCCCTCTTATCAATATTCTCCGTAGGCTCTTACAGTATTTTCCGTAGGACCTGGAAGACTGTATAGTCCTGCGGAGAACACTGTGAGGTCCTACGGAGAAAACTGTGCGGTCCTACGGAAAATACTGTAACAGCCTACGGAGAATACTGACATGGGGGCTACGGAGAATTACCACAAGCTGGTTACAGAATTTTCCGTAGCTTTTTGCCACAGTTCAATATTAGAAGTGGTTGCGCCTGGGCACATTTGTTATCATTTGTTTGTTCATATTTCTTCTCAGTATTGTTACATCGCGATATGCACTGCAAACTGAATGGAAAGACATTACGCCAAAATGTGGCGAGACAAAAAGTCTCGCCACATTTTGGCGATACTTTCATGTCTCGCCACAATATGGTCAGATTCAAATGTCTCGCCAATTTATGGCGAGACTTTTTTGTCTCGCCAAAATATGGCCCAAAATTATTTAAATAGGGTAGGCAATGCATGGATTCATAGCAAAATACATAAACTACTGCATTATTCACAAAATTTACGAGAAATCATTTCTGATCACCACTGATAGTTGTTTTACCCACTGGGGACTCTCAAGAGTAACGCTGTTTGTTTCGCTCATAAAACCCAAAAGGTGCGTCTTCACATAACAGGGCCGCTCACATTCAGTTTCATTGAAATCAGATTGTACTCACAATAATCACAGTAGCACTGTGGCTATGAAGAAATTTGCAGGCAGGTTGAGAGTTTATTCATCCAATAAAGATTGTCTACAAACATGTAGGGTTTTAGTACTGTACAACTTAGCCCAGAGAACAGATGGTGCAGACTGTTGATGAACTTAACATTTTGACAGTTCTCCTTTTTCACACGCAGTTTGACAATAGCTCGAACGATTAAAAGACATCTTCGCAAACAGATAACCCAGTTGGCAACAGTCGTCATTGCTCGAAACTAGGAAAAACTAAATTATATCGTTGCAAGTCAAACAATCGCTCAGAGGCTGGCAGCCATTTTAGAGGCTATGTTTTTTTTTTTGGACAGAAGAGGTTATGGGCAGTTATGGGCGTGACGATTTAGATTCAGATTCGGGTTGGGAAATTATACGCATGACCCAAAACCCGTATTCGCAGTCACATCCTCACATCTCGTAAACAAAAGTAACCTGAGGAAATGGCCGCTGGTTATCATGTTTTCCTCCCGACTTTGCATCAATAAAATTAAGTTTTTTCTAGTTTGGAGCGATGACGACTGTTGCCAACTGGGTTATCTGTTCGCGAAGATGTCTTTTTATCGTTCGAGCTATTGTCAAACTGCGTGTGGAAAAGGATAATTGTCAAAATTTTAGTTCATCAACAGTCTACACCATCTGTGCTCTGGACCAAGTTGTACAGTACTCACAGCTACATGTTTGTACACAATCTTTATTGGATGAATCAACTCTCAACCTGCCTGCAAATTTCTTCATAGCCACAGTGCTACTGTGATTATTGTGAGTACAATCTGATTTCAATGAAACTGAATGTGAGCGGCCCTGTTATGTGAAGACGCACCTCTTGGTTTATGAGCGAAACAAACAGCGTTACTCTTGAGAGTCCCCAGTGGGTCAAACAACTATGAGTGGTGATCAGAAATGTTTTCTTATGAATTTTGTGAATAATGCAGTAGTTTATCTATTTTGCCATGAATCCATGCATTGCCTACCCTATTCAATAATTTTGGGTCATATTTTGGCGAGACAAAAAAGTCTCGCCATAAATTGGCGAGACATTTGAATCTGACCATATTGTGGCGAGACATGAAAGTATCGCCAAAATGTGGCGAGACTTTTTGTCTCGCCTCTCCAGAGGCGTAAAGTCTGACCTTTGGATTTGTAGTGTGGGGCCGTCATGCTTCGGTCAAACTTGCCAGAGACTCGTAACTCACGAACTCTCACTGTTTCGATAAAGCCGGTCACGATGCGCCAAGGCCTTGCCACGTGTCATGATAAATAAGCTGCCGAGCCGCCACCCGGTGTTGGTTCCTTGTGGCCAAGAGACTCACTCGTCAACACCATGTCAAAGACAGCACTCGCTCTTTTCGCCGTTGCGGCTTTCGCCACCCTTGCTTCTGCACAGGTAGGAGGGTCAAATTTATTTAACGTGTCCCAACTTCTTGTATTCAAAAGCTCCGATTGTGACCAAATTTGGCAAATTTGCTGAAAATAGGGTACAGACGATTTTAACAAATCTAGGTTGCGGGCCATTTCACGCCAGACCACCGAACCCCTAAAATTGCGTATCGCTTTCTTTTGTTTCGCTTGACTGCCAGGGACCAAGACCCTGAAAACCCAAACCCAGGGATTTAGAAAAATATCCTACAGTTAAGGAATAGAGCACTTCAAATTTCAAACTTCTTACTCAAGTTTTTATCTCCTTATTCCATTTCTGTTTTTGAACGCCAGTGTGGGTTTTACCAAATGTTTCCTTTTCTATTAGGGATTTAAGTGGGTTAAACACTCTACTGTAACTTACGATAATTTGTCAAAATTACTGAATATATTCTCTTTTGAAAATGCGTTGGCATGGATTCGGACCATTTTTTGTTGAATGAAGGTAGTTATTGGTCCAACAAATCCCTGCAACTAAACCATTCACTTTGAGATGTCGGAAGTGACACTTTTGTTTGAAAGATCTAAGCACCGACAGTATTCTTCTCGTATGAAGGTCTGGTTGCCAAAATGACAGGAACATGAAAAAAGTTGATTCACTGAGAAGACAGGACCCATGTGCCACTAATTTCGAATGCATTGAGTATTGCATTGGAGCCAAGCAGGGCGAAAACAACGTCCGGGTTTCCCAGGCGCACCCTGCAATAACAGGCCCAGTGGCGCCAACAGAAATTTTAACAGGGGGCGCGAGTGTTCACAGGGACCCACCCACCCCTCGAGACCCCCCCCCCCCTTTATTTTTTTTCGCAAGCGTATTTTCCGTAAGAGATACTTTAGACGGCCTTTTACAGTTAAGTCTACTTTTGCGAGCGAAGCGAGCTAAGAGCCAACGCTTTCACAATGCTCCGTGCAAATCTTTTTGTAATTACTTCAACTAACGCAACACCTTCTACTAAAAGTTAAGAGCTAAGTGAGCATGATGCCAACGTATTCAAAAGCTCTTTTTTATGTCCGTCATTGGGTCGTTTTTATCGAAGCCGCAGTTAGGAGCCTCCCTGTGCTAGGGAAGCTAGCTTCTATACACTTCAAAGTCCTGCATGTTCTTCGAAGTGTGGAACAGACTTTAGAAATTGTGCGGGAGGCCCTAAGATGCGGTTACCCGAATTGACCACACGTGGAAATGCGGCCAATACCACATTAAAATCTTGGTAAATACCACAGCAAGTGGTCAGACCCTCCCACCTCAAGAAAAAAATCTCATTCAACGAACGTTAATGAAAGCAGATGATACTCGTTTGGTTTTCTTCTACGGGGTAGTATGGGCTCATTCCAAAGATAATATTTAAAAACTGAGTCCTTTGTGCCGTGGCCTGCACCGCCGCGCCATGAGACTAGGGCTTGGCCGCGCCGTGCCCGTTGGCCCCATCTGCGCTGTAGCGGGGAGGGATTGTCAATGCTGCGCGCAGGCCGTCGCGCGCGAGGAGGGGGTGCCATTGTCGAATTCCGCGCAGGCTGCGCCGCAGCGACAGACTCATCAGCCCGCCCCGGCAGCCAGCCCCTATTATATTGTTAGGATACGCACTTGGTTTTTGGACTCTCGAGTAAAAGCTAGCTGACACCTTTATGTGTCTTGTAGTTGTAGTTTTAGGTATGTTTTTGTAAAGGTATCATCTGCTAAAAAGATGGTCTTGACCACGCAATAAGCGTCTTATTATCCGAAGAAGCGCCCAGCTTGACGCGCTGTCCAGGCCAACGCCGCGTGTTGCCAGCACACGGGACAGAGTCGCAACGAACTGGCTCTCAAACGAACATGTTTCTGAGGTCTGGTCCGAACTTGCTTTCGGGCGCGAGAGCAAGTCCGGACGGCGCATGTCCTAGGAAAACAAAAACTAAATAAAAAATAGTTTTTTCTATTTTCCGAGTCGCAACGAACTGGCTCTCAAACGAACATGTTTCTGAGGTCTGGTCCGAACTTGCTTTCGGGCGCGAGAGCAAGTCCGGACGGCGCATGTCCCAGGAAAACAAAAACTAAATAAAAAATAGTTTTTTCTATTTTCCATTTAATTTTTAATTTCGAAAATTATTTATTAATTAATTTTTATTTTGTTCTTGTTGCTGTCAGGGCAGGTACCTTCGGACCTGCACTCGGCGGACTTGTTCCTAATTTAAGAAAATAATTCGAAAATAGAGACTGGACCCATTTGGCCTTCGCTTGCACTCGATGGGACTAACTTCTGACTCTCCGGCAGCAGAGACGCTAACTTGCTTCCGCACGGACCTGCCCTCATTATAGAATAAAAGTGGAATTTAAAATACAAATCAACCTTCCCTTCGTTGTTTCGCGGTGTCCTAACGCCATCCTCCTGACCCGTGGGGGTGGGAGCGAAAATCGGCAGCAAGGGGTATCGCCGCCACCGGTCACCGCAGCCTGCACGATGGGTTGCCTACCCACCGGGCTGGACGCCGGTTCGCCCGCGTGCAACCACAGGTAAGGCGTTGAAGCAGTCACGGGGGAACTCCTTGGTGACTGACAACGACAACGTGCACGAGCACTTGGAGCATCACTCGCTACCAAATCTCGCACTGAAAGTGCGCGTCTCCGCAACTCAGAGAGGCGCAAAGCCTTTCTGAACAATGGAACACATACAAATTGAAAGTCCGCTTTCAGCACAGATGAAAGTTTTTTTTTTTTTTTCAGACCCTTTTTCGTGTACATTTCATCAGGTATGATTCTCATCAGGTATAACGCTCTTATTTTACCTATCGCCGATTTACATGAAATCTCATCAGCTGTTATTCTAATCAGATATAACCCGTAGCATTTTTATAAATATTCGCGTGGCATCAGATACAAATCTCCTAAATAAAATTTCCATCAGGAATAATGTAGTTGTTCGCCCTTACAGATAGATACTTTGGATTTTCAGTGCATCAACACTGTCAATCCAATGGCAATACTTTTGGTACTTTTTTAGGCGATACAATTAAGTATTGGCAATGAACGGCCTTACAGAAAAGTGTTGCCTTCAAAACGGCAATACACAAATGTATCGCCAAAATTTGGCGATACTTCGGAGTATTGCCACAATTTGGCAATAAACGTTGAACAAATCAAGGGGACAAGTTCTTAGTTTAATGCCGTGGTTTTGGCGATAACAAAAAGTATCGCCAAATATTGGCGATACTTCTATGTATCGCCGTTCTGAAGGCAATACATTTCCGTAAGGCCGATTATTGGCAATACTAAATTGGATCGCCGAAAAATGTACTTCAGTATCGCCTTTGCATTATTTGCAGTGAATTAAATCAATGCGCTCAAAAGCGGAGGCACACCTGAATCACCACCATACTGATATTCAGGGAACAAGACGCCATATTCAAATCTATGTGAATCGTGTCACATTCTTTTGGTGAAGTTCTAAGGCACGCACAAATAGACTATTCTAGTCGTCGTCGACTGAAGAACAAGAAGAATCACAAACCGGAAATAGAGTAGGTAGGGAGTAGGTAGTGAGCCTGTTTTAAGGAAGTAATGCTAACAAATATATTTCTTTCTTTTGCCAAAAAGTATTTGACACAAGCTTAATTGATTTTGAAAGAGTGTTGAATCGAAAAACTTTATTAATGATGTACTCGGACGGGTGAGTGAGGTTAAGTTGCCGGCGCCATTTCCGGTTTTGTGATTCTTCTTGTTCTTCAGTCGGCGACGACTAGAATAGTCTATTCAACAAAAATATCAATAAACAGCAGACAAGCAGAACGCAACATTTATTTCTGTGCCTCTTTTCTATGAGGCTGCTATATAAAAAAAATCACACCGATAAAAATAATTATCAAATAAAGAACTAATCATCGTTAATTGGTCGTTCGACCATATTCCGAAAATTTCTTCGGCAGTAAGGGCACTGCGGTCCTAGTCTTCTTGAGTCAATCCACCTCTGTAGACATTCGCGGTGGTAAAAATGTCCACATGAGTCTGTTTGGACTCTGAGGATGTAGTTGAGAAAACTTTCGTAGCATATTGTGCAAATATCATCTTCTTCAACTGAAATCAGACACAAATATTTCAGTTTAAAGTTGCCTTGCATGTCAGCAAAACATAGCACGCTTACACTGAGAATCCAAACGCTATGAGTATAGCGTCAATTGGTGCAATGCAGAAGCATTGCACATGAAGTGGAATGCCTCCCATTTCCCATGCATTAGCATAGGGCCTTTTCGGGAAGCATTGCACCAAAGGTGCAATATGGCTGAGGCATTGCACGTATGGTGCGATATCACAGCGCATTGCACCATACGTGCTATACTCATAGCGTTTGTAATCTCAGTGATATTCTTATGATGAAACGATCAGTGGAACATACGCTGAAATGAGAACATACGTAGTACGATGAAATTTAGCGTAGCGTAATACGATAAAAACATGCATACCATATGTAAAATCATACGTTATGCGATGAAATCAAGCATACCTTACGTAGAAAGTTATGCCTTTTACGTACTATGTGCAAAATTTCAGCGTACCTTACGATGACAAATCATCGTAATACGTATAAAAACGATCGTAACAAATTGAGTGTGTTGCCGCCTACCCTACAGAGACTCGGCCGATCCTCCCTCAGAGTCTCTCTATGCACGTGTCGCACCAGGGCGTCGAAGTGGCCAAGGAGATCGTGAAGCGATGCTCGCGCCTTCGGTGCAGGGGTTACGCACTTCTTCGAGATTATGAAAACCCCAGGCCTTTGTTTTCAAAACGCTTTGCACATATGGAAAGAGCATGAATTGAAGGGTGCATTAGGCTAATGGCCTTCCTCGATACTTCCTGTTTTACCCATATTAAATTGAAGGGTTTTCACCGAAAAACATGAAACCTCTAGGATATTTGGGAAAAATCTTGGCCGCACCATCCCAATGTAAAAATTGCCTCCCTTGTGTGGGCTAAATAGAGGGGACTCAGGAAGGCCACTAGGCCTAATGCACCCTAAATTTCATGCTCTTACGATCTGTGCAAAGCGTTTTGCAAACACCGGCCTAGTTTTCATAATCTCGAACAAGTGCGTAACCGCTGCACCTTCGCTCGAGCATAGCTTCACGCGCTTCCTTCGCAGAAGCCACCCCCTGGTCGCACCTTACATTTTTTAATTTTACCATAGAACTTACGTTCGACCAGCCTGACCATAATGGTAGCCGAGACACCAGACAACGCCGTGGCGACATCGACTGGGTCGCTGCCCGTGCTGACTGGGAGCTGCTGGTTTGCCAATAAGAGCTGCGCATGATTTACCCCCTCCACAAAGAGAAAATCATGCACTGCTCGTAGGTCGTCGGAGGGCATAAATCTCCGCTGCAGGCGGCGGCCGTCCGGCAGAAAGAACCGCAGAGTTAGGGCCATGCTGGTGTCGCGCGGCGGCTCAGGCCGCAGCCTTGAGGCGACTTCCCTCCGCAGGACCTCCACCTCCTGCCGGTGCCCCTCCCGTGCTGCTTCGAGGGCAACCTGGGCTGCTGCCTCTTCTTGTTGGCGCTCCTCGCGCTGGCGGTCAGCCCGGGCGGAGGCCTCATAAGCCGCATCCTGTTCCCTGATGAGGGCTCTTCTGGCTTGCACTAAACAAAGGCGGAAAAAGTTACTTGGATTAGCGACCAACCAACCGCGAACCTATATCACGGTGGCAAAAAAGTACGGAAAGTTCAGTTAATTTTTTTGCCAAGATTTTCCGTAGCCCTCTTGTCAATATTTTCCGTATGCCCTTAGCATTCTCCGTAGGACCGCACAGTCTTCTCCGTAGAGCCACACAGTCCTCTCCGTAGAACCTTACAGTTTTCTGTAAGTCTGTGTATAGTTCTACGGAGAACACTGTGCAGCCCTACGGAGAAGACTGTGCGGTCCTACGGAGAATTCTGTAAGGGCCTACGGATAATATTGACAGGAGGGCTACGGAGAATTAGCACAAGTTGTTTACAGAATTTTTCGTAGTTTTTTTGGCACAATGTAGTAATAGGAAAAGATTAACTGACATTCAGCGTCTGGAGCAGGGGGTGTGGGTGGCCGGGATAGTGGTTGCTGGGGTGATGACAGCGCGGGCCGGGGAGATGGCTCTCGGGGCGGTGATGGACTGGGCCTGGGACGCGGCGATGGAGTCCGCAGGGCGCGGTCATCCGAATCGTCCGAATCCTCTGTAAAAAGAGTCTCTTGTGAGACTTCTCCCTTTTTTAAACAAAGATTATTTTAACTGAGAGGGTTGCAAAGCACCGCACCTATGACAATTGACTCCCGGCGCTGTCTTCGCCGTGGCGGAGGATTGTCTGGATTTGAAGAGTCACTCTCTGATTCACCTAAAATTTTGAAAGATAAATAAGAATGAGAAAAAAATCGTGACCCAAGCGCGACCCCAAATACTCTCTTTCGTCTTTAATTTCCAGCACAATACTTACGAAACAGTCGCCTTTGTGGAACACCGCGTCCGATCGCCCTGCTGCCCCCTCTGCCTCTACTGCCCCGCGGCCTACCAACGGGCCGACGTGGCCGTCTTGGGGTATCACCGCGATGAAGGCGCGGTCGTCCACGTCCTCTCCGTTCCCCTCGTGGCTGGCCCCGGCCAACTCTACCTCCTCGACCGTGTCCTGACACGCACGCGTCTACCTCAGCTTGACCTAGGGACAAACACCAACAACCAAACATGAAACAATATGTACAGCCCCATATGTATGCCCTTCACGCATTTTCATTGTTTATACTGCTTTTTCAGCACTGATAATCGAGGAAAGGTAGTAAAAATTAAAAAGTCACGCCAAAAACCGGTACGACATAAAATTCAGCTGAGCCTTACTGTCCAGCATTGCATCCAGAGGTAATGGAGGAGCGAGCGGCGGTGCGGGAGAGGGAGACCGCTCGGGAACCACCACGGGTCGGCCTGGGGAAGGTGGCCGCGCCGATGGTCCCACGAGCACATCGTCCCTCTCCTGCCACGATGCTACGAAGATGACCGAAGAGCCAGACGAGGATCGTACGGATGCGGTTTCTTCCACCTCCTCTTCTACTATTGGCCGAGAGAGAGTGGGCGAGTGGGGCGATAGAGTACCAGTCTCCACGCATTCCGGATCCGATCCCTTTGAAAAGAAAGTAAAAATTATGTTAGGTCTGCCAGATAGCCAAGAAGTTAATTTTATTTATTCGTATACACTGCAAATCCAGTTGTACGGTACACACACTGGTAAAACTAAAGCGTAGTATTACCCTCTGTTTTCAAGCGTAATCAGATTACGCTTGAAATCAAGCGTAACAGGCCCAATTGCCAAGATTCCCCCTATCTAAATGCATGGGGGAGTTTCCAGAGTATGCTTCATTTCAAGCGTAACGTCTTCAAGCGTAACTCTATGCTTGACTCAAGCATAGAGTTACGCTTTAGTTTTACCAGTGTACAAACTGTAAAATGTGTGCTAAAATGTTCTACGTTTCGAAGCATATGTCATAACGTTACAGATCGTCCATCACATAAAGTTTGTCCGTCACGTTTTCATAAACTACTCTGCAAATCCAAGTGTGGGACAGTCTCACACTCGAGCTCACACTATTTGGCGTGAACCACGATGTCCCACACGTACAAGTATGAACCAGAACCACGTTTGTCCCACGCTTTCAAGTTGCAGCGTTTGTCGGGCCGCTACGCCACCCTTCACTACATAAGCGTGAACGCGTGAGTGCGATCTCCGCTACTGGCCAGCTGCACTGAGTGGCCTGTCTCTGTCACACAGCCAGCAGGCAAACAGAAAAGAGCCGATCGTTGTCGATCCATGCCGCGTTGCACAACTTACTTCTGTCACGTGTGTTGCATCAGAATCCTCAATGTCCAGCAGGTCCAGGAGCCCTTGTGGTATGGCAGGAGGCGACGGAACATCAGGGAGCAGGACTTCATTGGTCTGAAAAATACATTTGGATTCTATACACGAAAGTCGAGAAGATTGGAGCCACTTTCCTTTCAGGCCCGTCCCTTTTTAACAGAACTGAGAACTCAAAGGTGAGAAAGTAAGCCAACCTCGGGGTCAAAAAAAAATTCTCACCTTTATTCGGTGAGAAACAAAATTCTCACCCCTATAGCGGTGAGAATCGAAATTCTCACCCCTTCAGCGGGGAGAATCGGAATTCTCGCCAGTAAATGGTAAGAATGTTTTCCCACCTGATATAGGTCGGTAGAACAATTCATGCCAAAATTTGGCGAGAGTGTAGATTCCCACCTCAAGACGGTGAGAAATATTTCTCGCCAAAATTTGGTCAGCATTCTCGCTCTTGAGTTTTCAGTGAGAATACTCAGGAAACTGAAGAGTGTCTTATCGGTCCTATGCACTCACTTGCATGCCTGCAAGCACACTGAAATTTTGAACATGCCTGCAGGCATGCTCAAAATTTCATGCACACTAACACAATAGAGTGCCTTCAGGCACACTCAAATTATTCCGTGCTTTAGCATAGTGGTTTTGTCTACAATTTTTGGAAGTGCCTGGATGCACACTTAAAAATTTTGTGTGCATGCCAGGCACACTAAAAATTTCAGTGGGCTTGCATAGAGAGTGCATAGCAAACTCCTCAGTTTCCGAAGTAGTAATAAAGATGGAGGGGCATGTAGGGTAATGCATGGTGTGTGTGTGTGTCATGTGTCTGTGTACACACCTCCCGTGATCTAAATTTTCAACAATTTTTTTCGAATCTTTGGGTGACCCGAATAAACGCTAGGTGTAAGGAAATCTTGTGCAGTGTCCACAAAGGCTGCAGCAGGTGCATCATGGTTAAACTGTGGCTTAGCGGGAAGGTACAAAGTTGCTGATGTATATCGCTACTTTTACAGTTTTTTCATTTTTCATTGCTCTAGATAAGGACTTCATTTAGCAGTGTCTGTAGGTGTGCGTTGGAAAACTTACATCTGCCATTTCTGTGTCGTCACCGCCCAGCAGGTCCGCGAGGCCCTCCGGAATGGCCGGAGGGGACGGCAGATTAGGGAGCAGGGCCGGTGGAGACGGGAACGGCCCATCAACCGCCTCTGAAGGGATTTGATCAGCCTGAAAAATACATTTGCATATTGCACACAAAATTTAAAACGATTCCCCAGTTTGGGACAGGTATACACTAAATGGTCCCACATTTCAAAGCGTAGACCACTCTTATCCCACATTTGAGAACAAACAACTGTATTCCACACTTGTAAGTGTGGAACAATAGTGGGTGTGGGACTTTTTGGTCAACACTTTTTAGTGCATGCACTGTGGCAAAAAGCTACGGAAAATTCTGTAACCAGCTTGTGGTGATTCTCCGTAGCCCCCTTGTCAGGATTCTCCGTGGGCGCTTACAGTATTTTCCGTAGGACCGCACAGTCTTCTCCGTAGGACCTTACAGTGATCTCCGTAGGACCTTACAGTCTTCCAGGTCCTACGGAGAAGACTGCGCGGTCCTACGGAGAATACTGTGCGGCTCTAAGGAGAATACTGTAAGAGCCTACGGAGAATATTGATAAGAGAGCTACGGAGAATCCTGGCAAAAAAATTAACAGAATTTTCCGTACACTGTTAGAAATTAGCTCCGAAATTTCATGGAGAAAAACCCTATAACCACGTACATGGAGACTCCATTCATTTTCCATCTTTTTTCGGAGAGATGATGTTCTTCGGAGCATTACTTGGGTCCTGATGGGAGGTAAAATGCATGTCTTTTCTCAGAATGGTTAAAAGAGGGCTTCGCTGAAGCTTTCTATAGTCTGAAATGGTCATAGAAGGGACAATCTTTTTCGAGCTCATTTGACTTATATCCTGTAGCTTTCCCATAATATTATGAAAACTGAGGTAAACAAGTAGGGGTTTGCCTTTCCCTTATTTTGTAACTGGTTGCAAACCTTTTTTCGTGTTTTCGTGATAGTGAGGCATGCATATTTGTTCATAATTCCGAAAATTTTCGGAGAAAGACCAGAATTTGCATTTATGGAGAGCTCCATGCGAAAGTTTAGGAAAAACTCCATGATTTTTCCATTTTTTTTTTCGGAATTTTCTGACCGTGTACCTTTTTGCCACAGTGTACCAGTCCCTCAATTGCATTTGCAGTGTAATGGTCACCTGACTCGCAACCGACACTTTTGACAGGGGCGACTATACCTGTCTCTTAACATGTATCGTGAAACATCTGCACCACGGACTACTTACTATGGAAACCTCAGTCGGCAGAAGAACGGGCATAATGGAATACTGCTGGTTTCCCGAGAACAAAGCCAACACGTGCTGCACCATATCCCGCAGGTTTCGCATCTGTACTAGCACGGCCACACCATCAGCATCCAAAAGGCCTGTCCGGCGGTTGCGGCAGTGTGAGTCCACAATGTTAAACCATTGCCCCCCGGTCTGCCTGTGGACTGCTATGGAGTAGCCAGACGTAGTCAAGATTCCGGCCTCGAATACTTCGAAGAACGCCTCCAGCCCTTGTTGTAGGTCCTGAGAGATCCCTCCTCCCCTCAAGAGCCCGTGGACGATGTTATTGGCGTCGACTACGAACGGAACCTAACACAAATATGGAATTAGTCTGAAGAACACTGTAAAAAATGTCTTGTCAATGCCGTTAATTTATTACTAGTTTTCACTGTAGGTCAATTCACAGCGTTTACTGTGATCTGCTCACGCGATTCACTGTGATCTGGTTCGCGGTGTTCACTGTGATGTGGTCCACAGTAAACACTGTGACTTGAACGCCGCTGAGCACCGCAGTACGGCAAATCAGGCTCTAATTCACGGCGTTTACTGTGGCCAGATCACAGTGAACACTGTGACAGAGATCACAGATAACGCCGTGAACTAGTTCACAGCAAACGCTGTGAATTGCATGACAGCAAACATTGGGAATAAATTAACGGCATTGACAGGACATTTTTTGTGCAGTGAAGACCCTTGCACTTCCGAGCACTAGCACTGCCAGCAGCCACCACATGCCAATGCGGAGCAAGCAAACTTACCCTCTCTGCTCCTAACGGCACAATGTTGTGGAGATCCTCCGGACCCAGATAGCCTCCATCGCGCCCGGCCGAAAGATGATACAGGGCGTCCCCGGCCCGCACGCACATGTCCACCACACCGCCGTGCCACATTAAGTCTGGATGAAGCAGCAGCTGCACGCTGGCTGCCGCAGCCACGGCGGTGCACTGCTTGCCAGCGCTGAACGTGCTAAACTGCGGGCTGTTTTGAGCCAAACTTCCCGCAACAACAACTTTGGATGCCACTGCCGGCTCCAACCCAAAATCCTGAGAAAAAAAAAAAATTTGCCATCGAATCCACCTAGTCGAATCGATAGAGGAATCTACGAGAACAACATAACAAAAATTTTAATTTTTTTCGTCGAGCCGTTTTAGAAAACGTGGCGTTCAAAGCCCGTAATTTTAACTCTTTTTCAAAACGGTCCAGTGACCATGCTGAATGTCGGATAAAGTTGGCATTTGTGGCGTTCGACGCAAAACTAAATATACCTCCAAAAACGTACTGGTTTTCTTTTCACGTCGGTTAATCGGTCATGGAGATTTCTGGCCTGTTGAAATTTTGGGGTATTGGTTGATTCAAAAAGGTTTCAAGTCCGTTTTTCTTTTAAACAGTGAATTATATACATGGGAAAATGCACTCCAGTAGACGTTGGAGACCACTCTTTCAGCTTGGTAAAGCTGTTTTGGGATACTCATTCCGAAAATTTGTGACCGAGCTAGGCCCGCCAAAGGGACGCCATGCGACGCCTGCTGGGCGCGTGGGCCTATGCTCTGCAAACTCAACAGTGTACTCAGTACACTGTGATCAGCATTTACTCACAAGCACACCCCCACGAGAGTGTGCTCAGATGAGCACACTCCCAAGAGAGTGTACTCAGAGGAGTACACTCTGATGAGAGTGTGCTCAGAGGAGTACACACTGATGAGAGTGTGCTCAGATGAGTACACACCTAAGCACGCCTGGCAGTATATGCAGCTGGAGGTGTGTACTCATCTCAGTACACTCTCGTGGGAGTGTGCTCATCTGGGCACACTCTCGTGGGGGTGTGCTTGTGAGTAAACGCTGATCACAGTGTACTGAGTATACACTGTTGAGTTTGCAGAGTGCTGCCAGCAGGTGGTGGGAGGTTTCGGCGCGTGGCGCGCGGCGGCACTACATTGAACGTAACTTTGGCAAGACGTGGCCAAATAGAAAAAACGAGGTGGCTCGATTCTACACCAAATTTCCTATTCAATGGTGGATAGGGTGTTGCCTTCAGACTCGCGAATTGTGTTGAAAATAAATCAAACAAGACGTTTGATTTAGCATTGTTACCTGTCGCCCTGGTCTTAGTGGCGGTGCACGGCCTCCTGGTGGTGGTGGAGGGCATGGTGGTGGTGGAGGGCCTGGTGGCGGTGCCGGGCCTCCTGGTGGCGGTGGTGGAGGACCTGGTGGAGGTGCCGGGCCTCCTGGTGGCGGTGGAGGACCTGGTGGAGGTGCCGGGCCTCCTGGTGGCGGTGGAGGGCCTCGTGGAGGTGCGGGGCCTCCTGGTGGTGGTGGAGGGCCTTGTGGAGGTGCCGGGCCTCCTGGTGGTGGTGGAGGGCCTTGTGGAGGTGCCGGGCCTCCTGGTGGAGGTGGTGGAGGGCCTTGTGGAGGTGCCGGGCCTCCTGGTGGTGGTGGTGGAGGGCCTTGTGGAGGTGCCGGGCCTCCTGGTGGTGGTGGTGGAGGGCCTGGTGGCGGTGGAGGAGGCGGAGGAATGTTCACGTCATTGGGAGGATCGTCGGGCAGCGGTGGGGCCCAGTTTGGTTGCAGCGGAGGGGGTGGCTGCGCCATTTCTTGTGGGAGCGCCCACTGCTGGAGATGACGCAATACGTTTTCGTTGGTGTACGCCGCCGCGTCGAGGAACTCCAGGATGGGTTGACCTCCACCCAGCAGTCGCTCGTAGCGCCGCATGCGGTATTCGTTGTTTGCGCTGCTGGTTGTGCGGAGCCTGGTGGTGTGCTGGCGGTTCTCCAACCTTTCCAGCACCACCACAGTCTCCGCGTGTGCCTGTTGAATCATCTCTGAAAATTTTAAACGGTAGGTATATTAGTTGAGCCGAGGCCTCGTAGCTTGTCTGAGTCGTAGTCTGTAACAAGACGCCGGGAGATGTCAGGGAATGGCGGGGGTACGGTCACGGCCAAGGGGCAAACAACTTGAATTTTGGTGTACATTTCCCTTGAAATAACGTGAAATAACGTGAAATAACGTGAAATAACGTTGAAATAACGCTGAAATAACGCTGAAATAACGCTGAAATAATGTTGAAATAAGGGTGAAATAACGTGAAGTAACACGAAATAACGTGAAATAACGCGAAATAACGTGAAGTTACGCGAAATAACGCGAAATAACGTTAAAATACCCTTGAAATAACGTTCAAATAACGTTGAAATAACAATGAAATAACGTGAAATAACGTGAATTTGAAATAACGGTGTACAAATTTTGACCAAGTTGTTTGCCCCTCGGTCGCGGCGACCTGCAAGGGGACACCTAGGGAAATTTCTCGGTACGATGCCAAATTTTTTCTCACTCCGCTTTTGAGGAAATTCGCTTCACATGGAAGCATTTTGGCTCACATGAATGCTTCGGTCGTCTCAAATTTCGACGAGACGGAGTCTCATGACGAGACGGATTGACGTAGACGGGTGCGGTTTGCACTAGATTGTACCTGAGTCTTTGCTCTAGGAGTCCTAAAGATATAAGAAAGTTTGGAAGAACCTCGTCCAGTGAACAGGCCGAGAGCGGGAAGCTCACTATGAAGAAATACCGAGAAACTTGGCCGTTTTAAGACCTTCAACAGTCCATCCCGTACGAAGTATGACAGCTAGATATCTCGCCTGGAGATTAAATTAAAGCTCTTTAAGCGCACTAAAGGTGATACAAAAATAAACGGGCTCCGACAAGAGCTGCGAAGAGGACAGGCGAAAGATGTCCAATTTGGTCGATTTGGTGCAAAGTTCCGAATTTCGACCTTCAAACGGTCATTCACTGGTCGAGAGTCAAGCTAGAAAGCTCACCGACGTTTTAAAACGAAGGTATTGAATGCCTCTAGAAGCTGGTTGGGTTTGAAGTACTATGAAGTTCAAAAAAGCCAGTGAGCAGCCGAAAATTCTCGAAAATTTTAGCGGGAAAAAATGGTCAAGTTCCCCGATGGCACCGACAAAATCGGTCTCATGACGAGACGGATTGACGTAGACGGGTGCGGTTTGCACTATATTGGCATGAGACTTTTCTCTAGAAGTCCTATAGATATGAGACAGTTTGGAAGAACCTCGTCCAGTGAACAGGCCGAGAGCGGGAAGCTTACATTAAGGAATAGCATGAAACTTGGCCGTTTCGAGACCTTCAACAGCCCGTCCCGTGCGAAGTATGACAGCTAGAGATCTCGTCTATGGCTTAAATTAAAGGTCTTAGAGCGCACTAAAGGAGATATTAATATGAACGTGCACCGATGAGAGCGGTGAGAGGGAGATGCTTGAGTTGTCCAATTTGGTCAATTTCGTGCAAAGTTCCGAATTTCGACCTTCAAATGGACATTCACTGGTCGAGAATCGAGCTAGAAAGCCCCGTGACGTCTCAAAATGAAGGTAATGAATGCGTCTAGAGGCTGGTTTGATCCGAAGTACTGTGAATTTCAAAGGAGGCAGTCAGCAACCGAAACCTCTCGAAAATTTCAGTGGTTCAAAATGGTGACATTTCCCGATTTAACCGAGAAAAACGGTCTCAGGACGAGACAGGTTGACGTAGACGGGTGCGGCTTCCACTGAATTGTACTTATGACTTGTCTCTAGGTGCCCGAAAGATATTAGACAGTTTGGAAGAATCTCGTCCAGTGGACAGGCCGAGAGCGGGAAGCTAACATTTGGCAAAAGCGCGAAATTTGGCCGTTTTCAAATCTTCAACAGCCCGTCCCGTACGAAGTATGACAGCTAGAGATTTCGTCTATGACTTAAATTAAAGCTCTTGAAGCGTACAAAATGTGATGTAAAACTCAACGTGTTCTAACGAGAGCTGTGAGAGGGAGAGACAATGGATGCCCAATTTGGTCGATTTGGTACAAAGTTCCGCATTTCGACCTTCAAATGGACATTCACTGGTCGAGAATCGAGCTAGGAAGCCCCGTGACGTCTCAAAATGAAGGTAATGAATGCGTCTAGAAGCCTGTAAATAAAGAAATACTCGCTTTGTGACGGAGAGCAGTCAGAAGTTGAAAGAAGGCAAAATTTTCAGTGTTGGAAAAATGGGGTGTTTGCCGATTTGATCGGGAAAAATGACGTTATAACGAAACTAAGTGACTTGGATGGGCCTGGTTTGCATTAAATCGTAGTTAAGACTTGTATCTAGAATGGTGACAAAAGAGCAGACGGCCGCAAAGAATCTCGTCCAGTGGAGAGGCCTTCGACGCGATACTCATATTAAGCAGAAGTGATGATTTTGGCCGTTTTCCATCCTTCATCCCTCCGTCCATTACGAAGTATGACAGCTAGAGATCTCGTCTATGGCTTGAATTGAAGCTCTTTAGGCACACTACAGGCAGTATTAAAATGAGGGTGCTCCAACGAGAGCTGTGAGGGTGAGAGGCCGGAGATGTCCAATTTGGTCGATTTGGTGCAAACTTCCGAATTTTGACCTACAAATGGGCATTCACTGAGACCAAATCTCATGCCTGATTGGAGGATCACCTCTAAACTAAAAATGCCGGGGTGAGACCAGTGGCGTTGTTGTAAAATTTTTAAAGGCCACACTCTTGTCCGAGATGCTTGTATGGTTGCCTACACTCTAAATATGGGGTGACCAGCAACTGGGCGCCTTTGTCGCCCGCCCCACTTTTTAGGGTGCCAAATGTCGCCCAGTTTCTGGGCACCTTTGTCGCCCAGTCTCGGGGTGGACAAATCATACAGTAACCGGCTCTCTCCCATGGTAGAGCATGCTCAGGTGTCTAGATCCTGGGCGACTAAGGTGCCTAGATTCTGGGCACCTTCGGCACCTCAGTCGCTGCTGAGCCATGGGTGAAGGCAGGTTTCTTAATGGTTTGTCCACCACGAGACTGGGTGACAAAGGTGCCCAGGAACTGGGCGACATTTGGCACCCTAAAAAGTGGGACGGGCGACAAAGGCGCCCAGTTGCTGGGCACCCCATATTTAGAGTGTACCTACAAGCGAAAGAAAGTTACTTTAACGAAAATATATTTTCGAAGTCATTTTTGAAATTGCAGTAGTTTTGTCTGTTTCATTACTTTTTTCCTGGCTTTCACTGAATCCTTTAAAGCATGAGTTGCAACTATACCTTCACGTACGGTGCTATATATGTGTATATGTGGGATTTTCGGTGCGTATGGCGCCGTATGGCCTGGGAAATTTTAAAGGGCATTTGATTTCGCATAGAGGCCATACGGCGTATGGCCCGGTAACCCCTTCAAAAACACCACTGGATGAGACACCCCAAATGACGCCCCCATTTGCCCCCATGGCAGGACTACTTCCCCGGCCGTTCCCCGGGAGCACCACGGGCGTTCCCCTGGTGGTCGCCGACTGTGCCCCGGCCGATCCTCGACATCACTTGGTCGGCGTTACACTTGGTCTTGTTACAACTTACCGATCACAGCCCAAGTGTTCGGGTTCGGCTGATGAGCGTACCGCCGGAAGTGGAAGTGGTTCGTCTCACAGCTATTGTTGGTAGCATGGAAGCGCCCACAAAAACTGAGCCGTCGTGGACGAATAATGACCAGCCAAAAATTGTAGTAATAGATGAGGAGGGGGTAGATCGCAGTATAGAGCTGTTCGGACCTCCGCCGCAGCTCGGTCCAAACCAACGTAAAGCCCTCCCCAATCCGGTCGCCCGGCAGCCGGGGCAGGGTGCACAGGCGTCGCAGGAATCTGAGGGCGTGTTCGGACCCAAGGATGACAGCCCGCAGCCCTAGGCGACCGACCGCCTCATGCACACACACAATGTGGTGGAAGAGACAGCCACTCTGCCTGAAGTGTGGGCTCGCCGGGGAGAACACGCGCCTCCACGCGTTCATTTGCGCGAGCTCAAAATCAGAGACGACATTTGTCGCACATAGGCCGAGTTCCCGGAGCTTATGTAGTACCCAAAGGTACGCCTCCTCTAAGCGGCTAGTCATCATGACGTAAGCAACGGGAATCACCTGTTAAGAGAAAACGCATAAAAACATTGCTGACTAAACGCAGAAAAACATTATGGCCAATCAAACACATCCTTTTGGACAAGGGCACTTAAATCGGACAAAAAGCGACTACACTGCAAACCTAACTGTCTACTAAGTACACACTTACATGCTTGCAAGCACGCACTTACAAACGCATGCTTGGCCAAGTACACACTTACAAATGCATGCTTGCAAGTACACACTTACAAACGCATGCTTGACGCATAGAGTTATACGGCGTCAAGCATGCGTTTGCAAGTGTGTACTTGCAAGCATGCATTTGTAAGTGTGTACTTGGCCAAGCATGCGTTTGTAAGTGTGTACTTGCAAGCATGCATTTGTAAGTGTGTACTTAGTAGACAGTTAGGTTTGTAGTGTAGTGGGGCATTCCATGCCAGATCATCCGGGACCGCAAATTTGAAGTCTTGGATTTTGATGAAACTTGGTGGTTTTGTTCCTTAGGCACCTCGCCATACTCAAGTAATAAATACCAACAACGAGTTTAAAAGTCACCTGTTTATTACTTTAGTACACGGTAAAAACGGCTCCTGGTTTTCCCAGGAACTCCCTGGAAATCGCCTATGTTTCTACCATAGGCTTCCTGGGAAAACCAGGTACCGTTTTAACCGTGTATGGCGAGAAGGGAAATCAAGCAACAGGTTGAGATTTGGTTGAAAAATAAAATTTCAAAAAAAACATTTTAAATCTTTGTACACGATATATTTTTTTTGTTTAACCAAAATGAGCGAAATTTTTTTTTTTTTGTCAGTCCAGGGTGCCTAAGGGACAAAACCACCAACTTTCATCAACATCCGAGACATCAAATTTGGGGTCCCGGATGATCTGGCGTGGATGCCCCTAGTTCAGCGGTTCTCAACCTTTTCCGGCTCGCGACCCCAAATTCTTAGCCAAATATTTCCGCGACCCCCATGAAAAATTTTGCAACCCCACGGGCTGACTTTAAGCAGCCTCTGCGACTGATCCGAGGCGGTATTTCGTCCTCCCTCGACGGGCAATTGGTCTTTGAACCTTCCTTTTGCATGCCTTCGTTACGGAGTGCGATTATCTGCCTTAGTTTGAGAGCAGTATTGCCGCAAAGTTGATAAAAACACGATTTTTCAGACATTTGTGACCGTTTTGATCAACTTTGCGGCAATACTGCTCCCAAACTAAGGCAGATAATCGCACTCCGTAACAAAGGCATGCAAAAGGAACGTTCAAAGACCAATGGCCTGTTGAGGGAGGACGAAATGCCGCCTCGGATCAGACGCAGTAGATGCTTTAAGTCGGCCCAAAACACGATTTTTCACAGACATTTGTGACCGTTTTGATCAACTTTGCGGCATTTAAGCAGTCACTGCGTCTGATTTGAGGCAGTATTTCATCCTCCCTCAACGGTCAATTGGTCTTTGGACCTTCCTTTAGCCTGCCTTTCTTACGGAGTGCGATTATCTGCCTTAGTTTGCGAGCAGTATTGCCGCAAAGTTGTTCCCGCCAGTGCTCGGCGTGTGGGCCAGCCGGGAAACCACCGCGACCCCAGGCGACCCCAGCCAGCTCGCCGCGACCCCTCGAAATTTTTTCGCGACCCCATTTGGGGTCGCGACCCTAGGGTTGGGAACCGCTGGCATAGGAAGCAGTGATCTGCGGTTCAAACATGACGATTATTGCAAAACACTTACCATGTTGTTGTAGTTGGTGACCACGCAATAAAATTGGCCAACATCTGGGGTGAGCCCCGCTGTGATCTTGAAGGTGCCGTCGCCAAAAATGAATCCCGTGAGAGTGAGCCAGTTGATGACGTTCAGGAACGCGAACACCAGGCTCCTCATACCAGGCGGGCCCACGATACCATGGTACAGCTGTTCCTCTGGCTGGGTGGTGGATCGCCCGAAGTGGAGCCAGTTATCGTCGGTAAGGTAAGCGTGCGTCTCCTCTACGCTGCTGGGGTTTGGAGGGCGCTCATCCTTTCGGCGTTCGTAGACGTTACGCCGAAGGTTCACCTCATCCAGTCGCACCCGCAGCGTTGGTGGTGCACTGTAAAGGTTGCGCATATATTGATGGCAATGTTTTGCCGGCCCCCGTCGTTCCGTCTGCGACCCTCAAAGCCCCTATGGGAAGTTGCCAAAATTGTGGGTCCTTTTGGCTCCTAAAAAAGTAAAAAAAATATCTCGTTCTTAATTTTTTTTAGCATTTTTCCTGTATTCTAGGGGTCATTCTAAACGCATTTCCGAAGGAGGCCAGTATTTTCTCGCACTTTGATTTTTTCCCTATACTTTACATGGGGGAATGGCACGGAAGTTACCGAAAATGTGCATGGCACGGAAGTTACATCATCAAACAAACCGTGAAAACGGACCAACCGGTTCACCAAATCGAACAGGTGTCTCGCCTAAAGTTGAAAAGACGTAAAAGCGCAAAATGGCCAGGTGGACCGAAATCGATAGGCCGAGTAGCAAGCTCGCAATTGATGACACGGAAGGTTACACATAAACCTGACACATGCCGGATTTTTACCTTTGGTGGTCAAGCTAGCCGAAATGGAGCCCTCCAGCGAAAATCCGCCTACCGCACTGGAAAGAGGAAACCGTGCTGCTGATTCTGGACGTTGAGCCGAACTTTTCCCGCTACAGGTTCGGCGCTGAGGCGCGAAACTAAAGTTGACGATGTTTGAAAACCAGTACACGGTGGACATTTTTTCATCCAATAAAGCAGGAGGTGAGAGTCACTGGAATAAATTGCTATCCAAGAATGTCATAAAGGGTTGCCAACAGAACAAAAGGCTGTTCGCGGATTTGCTCTCCGACAAATAGTTCAGGAGATTTTCGCCTTGAAACACGGACTTTTTGGACAATGGACAGCACGGAAGTTACATTTTGCCCAGTTTTAGCCTGTTTTGACAGGGAAATACTTGAAGTGCATGCTCGGTTAGTGTGTGGGATAGTAGGGGATATGAAGTCGAGTCATAGGAATCAAACCGCAGGTCGATACGTCGAAAAATAAGGAAACTGTGGCCCAAAGACACAAAAGGACCCACAATTTTGGCAACCTCCCCTATAGACACTTCTAGCAGGGCCTGAAGTGAAGAACAAGAAGACGAACAAAGACCGGAAACAGTACAAGAAATTGGGCCTTTTCGGGGTTTTTGGCAGGTTTAAATCAAATTGTGTTACAATATTAAGATTCCTTGAATTTTGGGATTGAGAATAAACATTCGTCATCAAGAAATAAGCGTAATTTGGCAACTGTTTCCGGCCTGTGTTCTTCTTCTTGTTCTTCACTCCAGGCTCTGCGAGAAGTGTCTATTGGGGTTAAAAGGCCCGCTAGGAGCAGCACCGTCGACCCCCAATGTGCAAAGCTGAGCGGCGAGTTTGAACTTGCGGTGTGCTTGCGGGGTTGTGTCTTCGTAATAAGGAAGACCAAATGCCAATTCTTATAAACAAACACTGAAATTGAGTTAAACATTGAAATTTCACCCTCCTCAAAGCGTAAAAGTCTAAAACGAAGCACGATCCACACCCAATGCCAACACAACCAAGTTCCAACTTGCCGCTCACAAAGCACACACACAAAATCTATGTGTGTACTCAGTACACACTTCTAGGTGCGTGCTTACAAGCATGCACTTCTAGGTGTGTACTTGCCTAAGCACGCACCTAGAAGTGTGTACTTGAATGAGTACACACTTATAAGTGTGTACTTAGTGAGTACACACTTGCGAGGTGCATGCGCGGCATAGGGAAAACGCAAGCACTTCTATGTATGTACTCACTGAGTACACACTCATAAGTGTGTACTCATTCAAGTACACACTTCTAGGTGCGTGCTTAGGCAAGTACACACCTAGAAGTGCATGCTTGTAAGCACGCACCTAGAAGTGTGTACTGAGTACACACAGATTTTGTGTGCAACTCATTTGTACACTGGCGGAAAAAATTAAGGGGACACTTTTTCAAAGTGACCTCAAATCTCGAGTTTCAGAGCTAGAAGGCTGCAACTTTCACACAAGTTGCCTTCAAGTGTCCTGAAGACGCGTGCAAAGTTGCACCGACGAAGTTGGACCGGGAGGGGGTGATTCACCCCCCCCCCAGTAAATTTGAAGTCCCAAAAACGCAAATTTAGAAGCGGCCAGCCTGGCTCTCGGAGTTCAAAAGAATCGGAAAACGGTACAGAGCGATTGCCCTTGACGTCCTCTACAAAATGCGACCCCCGGGAGACCTCTAGGACAAACCCACCCCCTACAACCCCCATCCCCCTTCAAAATCCACAATTCTTGAGGTACAGCCTTGAGATCGGGCTGACGTCATCCTCTTGGTCACCCTGATCAAGAGGATACCGCGTCTGAGCCTGTGCACCCCGTAGTCACCCTCGGAGTGGCCGAAACACTTCACCCCCTTTCAACCCCCTGCGATTTGAGGAATTTCTGCTTTTCGGATAGGGATGAAACTCACCAGGGTTTTGGTAGACGTGACCCTGAACAGCTTCGAAAAGGTCCCATGTCGATAGCTGCCCTTGGAACCACGCAAAGACACCCCCAAGTTAGGGGTGCACAACCCCCAAGCGGAGGGGTTGAAAACAGCCGCGCAGCTGGGTGGACCTTCCAGACAGCCAAAGCCATCGGGTACATGCTGTTTAGCCCTTGAATTAAGGTCTCTTCACAATTTTTAGCCTAAAAACTGTGTTTCGACGAAAAAACAACCCCTGTGTTTGCGCCCTTGTAGGGGCTGAATCAGTAGGGCTACGGCCATGCCGACCGCAGCATTGGATGCGCCAAGGCCTCCTTATGAGACACATAAAAATTCAGAATTTTCCAATCACGCGTTTGCAGACAGCGCAAGTTTCGAACTCCTGCTCACGGTCCTGCCGGGAAACGCTCTCAAAAGGTAGGCAACCCATCGGGCTTCGATTTCAGTTTTTCCGCTTTTTTCATGATTCAGGTGATCTGATTGGTTCAGCTTTTGATTTTGATCAATCTCTAACCCAGCAAATCGAATCCGACCCGCTGAATCATGCAGTAAAAGAATCACTTACATCGAAGCCCGATGGGTTGCCTACCTTTTGAGAGCGTTTCCCGGCAGGACCGTGAGCAGGAGTTCGAAACTTGCGCTGTCTGCAAACGCGTGATTGGAAAATTCTGAATTTTTATGTGTCTCATAAGGAGGCCTTGGCGCATCCAATGCTGCGGTCGGCATGGCCGTAGCCCTACTGATTCAGCCCCTACAAGGGCGCAAACACAGGGGTTGTTTTTTCGTCGAAACACAGTTTTTAGGCTAAAAATTGTGAAGAGACCTTAATTCAAGGGCTAAACAGCATGTACCCGATGGCTTTGGCTGTCTGGAAGGTCCACCCAGCTGCGCGGCTGTTTTCAACCCCTCCGCTTGGGGGTTGTGCACCCCTAACTTGGGGGTGTCTTTGCGTGGTTCCAAGGGCAGCTATCGACATGGGACCTTTTCGAAGCTGTTCAGGGTCACGTCTACCAAAACCCTGGTGAGTTTCATCCCTATCCGAAAAGCAGAAATTCCTCAAATCGCAGGGGGTTGAAAGGGGGTGAAGTGTTTCGGCCACTCCGAGGGTGACTACGGGGTGCACAGGCTCAGACGCGGTATCCTCTTGATCAGGGTGACCAAGAGGATGACGTCAGCCCGATCTCAAGGCTGTACCTCAAGAATTGTGGATTTTGAAGGGGGATGGGGGTTGTAGGGGGTGGGTTTGTCCTAGAGGTCTCCCGGGGGTCGCATTTTGTAGAGGACGTCAAGGGCAATCGCTCTGTACCGTTTTCCGATTCTTTTGAAATCCGAGATCCAGGCTGGCCGCTTCTAAATTTGCGTTTTTGGGACTTCAAATTTGCTGGGGGGGGGGGGGTGAATCACCCCCTCCCGGTCCAACTTCGTCGGTGCAACTTTGCACGCGTCTTCAGGACACTTGAAGGCAACTTGTGTGAAAGTTGCAGCCTTCTAGCTCTGAAACTCGAGATTTGAGGTCACTTTGAAAAAGTGTCCCCTTAATATTTTCCGCCAGTGTAGTTTTGGTCAACCATTTTAACCAAATTTTTACGGCAAAAAATAAAAAAGTGCAGATATCAAAAAAGATGTCATCATGGATTTGGCTGAAAAATTTTTTGTAGCTTCCTCTATTAGTGTACTAAGAGCCTGCAATCCCCCATTGAGGGCCCCATGTACAGGAATGGTACAAATAAATCAGGAACGTTGAAATTTGGTTTTTTTTTCACTGTTTTGGGCTAAATTGACACTCTGAAGGTTCCGTCTCTTGTTTGACCTTAACGCTTGGGTCCCACAGTTGAAGGAGCAATTGATTACTTTCAGAACTCTCATTAGGCAACATCTCAGGCCTCTCCTCCCTTGATTCAGAATTTTTGCAGCTGGCCATGATATAAACTAATGGAGTATTTACCTCAATCCCTCCAATTAAAGAAAATACAGGAAGCTGCAGAATGCAATTACTCTTGCAAATTAAGGGGAGGTTCTGGTGAAAATCTTGCCATTTTCCAAATGGATCCCAGTGTCATAATTTCTTCGGAATCTAAAATCTTTCTTCGAGGAGACTAAAATTTGATTTTTGAAGGCACATCCCAGGCTCTGAACCCAGTCGAAGAGTCTTTTTGAGCCTATTTTGGCTGTATCTTAAAAAATCTCCTTGCGCATACTATTTTATCGTAAAAGGTTGACCTTGACATTTTTCACTTCTTCGATTCCTTTTCAAAACATTCCGGCATGCATAGCTCAAAATCTCTGTTATATTATTAACTGTAAGCTTTTTAAGCTGAAAAGTCCCTAAAATTTGTCTATTTTGTACAGTTTTGATCAACTATAGTGAAATGATTGGTAAGAAAGCTTGCGAATGAAAACGTTATTTACATTTTGAGTTATGCATCCCGGCATCTTTTAAAAATGAATCAAAGAAGTGAAAAATGTCAAGGCCAACCTTTTATGACAAACTAGTATGCGCAAGAATGTTTTTTAAAGTTATAGCCTAAATAGGAGTATCCTGTATTTTCTTTGATTGGAGGGATTGAGGTAAATACTCCATTAGTTTATTTCATGGCCAGCTGCAAAAATTCTGAATCAAGAGAGGAGAGGCCTGAGATGTTGCCTAATGAGAGTTCTGAAAGTAATTGATTGCTTCTTCAATTGTGACCAAAAATTTCATTGGTTCAATGACCCCCACCTTGACAATATGTTTCAACCAGTAACATTCTATACTTTATAAATAAGAAATTTTGATTTGTTGCATGCATTTTTTTATCATCTTAGGTGCAGTAAATTTAAATATCTAAACATATCTTTTTTTTATAGGGAGGTCTTCCTCTATCTTTATGAAACAAAACCCTGAGCATGGCACAGACTGGGGGGAGCATGCTAAGGGAACAAAGAAAAATATTTGAAGTAAGTTCTTAGAAACTAAGTTTTTCAATTTGGAGACTGCACTACCATTTTCAGAACTTATGCATACCATTTCTCTGTCTCTATTATGATTGTCTTGATGTGCAACTACCAATTTACATAAAAGGTAATTTTGTATTTTGCCTTGAACCCTCCCTACTACGTAGTGAGCCTCCTCAAAGCACAGCCGCAGTACTGCCATAAGGCTACGGGACGTGGGGAATACCGCAAGGCATTTAAGTGTAAACTTACCTCTGAACACGGTGGGCTACGACGTCCCTGACCATCCTCAAAGGGCACTGCATCGCTGCGCGCAGAATGTCCTCCCGGAGACGAAGCAGGCCGACGAGGTCCGGGTCAGCAACACAAGTGTGTGCAGTCACGACATGCATATTTCTCCCGTCTTCGTCACTGTGCGCCCTTCCATGGCAGGTAGGCCGAGCTCGGCATGTGTAAGCCCAGCCGCCGGACGCCAGCTGCTTAGGGACTCTGTGGTAGCTAAAACCATCTCCACATTCACAGTACCACAGTAGACTCCCGTCGCGTTCACCCACAAAATGTCGTGCGTGGTGCTCCATCGCGCAATCCTTCGGCCTCACCACGGCCGAGCCGAGGACACACTGATTGCAACTGCGTAGTGTTTTCCTGGAGCTCACTGGAGTCCCAGGAGCGGAGACTACTAGGGGCGGCGAGGGGGGAGGCGGGGGTTGGAGGGGACGGCAAAGGCGGGAGGCTACTCTCCCCCGTACGGGGTGAGGCGGGGGCTGGCGGGGCTCCGGCAGATCTGCGGGTGTGGGGAGGGGCAGGGTGACGAGATGGTGGGGGGTTGGCCCTATGAAAAATTCAACACTCTTCTTGAACTGTTTTGAATCCTAAAGTCCCTTACAGTGAATACATTAATTTGTGTGCATTGTATCTGCTTGCTTATATTTTTCTCTTAATATTTTCATGCTGTTCATGATTTGAAATATCTTTTAACACTTTATAACCAATGTGGAAAGTGGACACCTAAAAAGTTGAGTCCAAATGCAAGTTCTTATTTGATGCTTTGATGAAAAAGAGAGGTTAAAATGAGCCTCTAAATGTGTGAAGCTTTTGCTGAAATTGACAAACGGAAATCCTTCTGTTCTGTGTAGGACTGCTACAGAGGCAAAACAGAGGGTAGGTGCAGTTGGTTAGCAGAATTTTGTAACTGCGTCTTTTGGTTCAGGTTTGGCATCAAAATCAATATTATTTGGTTATGTGGCGAAATCCACACGAATTTTCAATCAAACTCGTGCATAAGGAATGCCTTTTACTGTCCTTTTTAGCAGGAAGAGGCACGTTTTTTTCTTATTTCTTCTGCAACTACAGAGCTTGCAACCCAAGGTTACAACATGCCTCGCTACAAGAAAGGTGGAGTCCGTCGTAGGTTCAAGAGACCTGCCAAGGGCACTCGTCACTATGGAAGTCAATCATGCAAGGTTATATCTTTTACATCTGCTGCTTGTGTTACTAAAGTGCCATAGGCTTGTGTTGAAATGACACGTGTGCTTTTTGTTTGTTAGTTGGCTGCTGCAAATCCGTCTATGGCCGTTGATTCAACAGAGCCGTCTCAGCGTCAGGAGGAAGCTTGTGAGGACCATAATGGATATTTTTTAGGATTCAATACCAACAGTTGGTGTCAACCCATCAGAGTGCTTTCTCTATTTGACGGAATTAGTTCAGGTACCGTTCTCTTTGGTCATGATTCTAAGTAAAATTGTAAATGTTATACTTAATATACAATATGGATTTTATTATTATATTACAGGACTCTTGGCGCTTGATTCTTTAGGAATAAAAGTCAGTGAATACTTCTCTGCTGAGATTGACAAAGATGCAATTTCCATTCAGAGAAAAAGATTTTACGGCAGAATCACAGAGATTGGAGACGTAGAGGCCTGTACTGAGCTTTTATTGGACCAAATTGCACCTATACATCTTTTGATTGGTGGTTCCCCATGTAATCAACTGTCAAAAGTCAATCCGAAGAGAAAGCTATTTGGTATAGAAAAGATTGTTTTTTTTATTTTATTGTTTGTTGTTTTTTTGAACTAAATTGTAATGTACTTTGTTCTCAGCCCCAGGCTCAAGTGGAAGGCTGTTCTTTACCTACGTTAAAATTTTAAATTACTTAAAAAAAAAGGCAATAGAAAATAATCATAATTTTTTCTATCTGTATGAGAATACATCAAACTTGGACCGTTCTACCCTCCTCACAATGACAAAGTAATTCTATAAAAATGAAGTTAAATGTCAATAGTTTCTATCTTGTTAAGTATTGGACTAATCAATCACAAATTTTTCGTAGGGCATTCAATGCAGAACCCCAGGTGGTAGATGCTCTCAGCTTTGTTCCGATGAGAAGGAAAAGGCTATTCTGGCACAACTTAGGTAAAAGTGATGTTGATCTGGCTTCCATGGAAATTCCACCACTGGAAGATTTCCTAGATCCAGGCCGCATAGCTACTGTCAACATGGTTTGTACCATTACAACAAATAATGCATCTCAAAAGAAGAAGGATAAATGTCCTGTTGTCAACTTTGATGGGGAAGAATGTACCTTAAATGTTAATGAACTGGAAAGAATATTTCATTTAGGTGAGGGCTTTACAGATAATGGTAACTTGTCCATTTCTAGACGGAGGAAACTTATTGGTAAATCTTGGGTTGTTCCTGTCATTGCTTGTCTATTGAACCCTTTACTTAAAGTGCTACAAGTATAAATGTTAAAGATGAGAAACATTTTAAAAGGAATGTGGTATCTGTTTCTTTTTCTGTACAAAAAATGAAAGCTGATACTCTTTTTATACTGTCCCCTGCTCCTCCTAAAAGTCAGATTTGTAAAATTGTAATAAAATTAAAACAGAAAATTATTGAAAAACAGTTATTTGTTTATTTTTTTCATTTTTAAGTTAATGTATATTATTTGAACATCACTTGCAGGAAAGACTGAGGTTTTACTCAAGAATAAATGGTTTGTTACATGTATTATTTGACTATCACTCACAACGTCCCTTATAAGATTTACATTTTCATACCTCGTATTAAAAATTTCTATACACCATTAACAAAGTTGCAAAATGAGAGCATTTTTTTTCATCAGTACATCATGACAATGAAGCAGATTTAATCTTATACAATGGCTTATCAAAGCCACTACATCACCCACTACAAGCCAAGAAAATTAACAGTTAACACGATCATAACTCTGGCTGCCTCCTAGAAGAGGTTCAGAAATGTGTACGCTGGCATTCTTGTAGTTGCAATAGTAGAAATGTTTCGTCAAGATTATTGTTCATCGTAACATGAAGGGCTTCAGCATACATCTTGTCTACAAGTTGAAGGTTCTTCCTGCCAAATTTGGAGTCATTATCTGTAATCTTACTAGTTTTCCTCCCTTAATTTTGCAACCTCTGTGAAAAGTTGAAACTATTCAATTTTTGTATTTCATCATCATATTCATAGAGAGGCTTTAGTTTGATTCCAGGATACTCCAAAACACTTTTACCATCCCTTCCCGCGTTCCTGAGGCCCTCTGAGAGCTTTATATTGAGTTTGCGATGAGTTTCGGGCTCTGACCATTAAAGCCTGGCCTCTTCGAGACTTTCTCAGACAAAAACATTTCCAGTACTCACAATTTTTGTACAAATTTGACAAATGATGGCCCAAAAGCTTCAGGGAACAACCCTCTAGATGATTAAGGCCAGCTCTCAGCTCTGGCTGTAAATGTTAGAGATAAATTAATTTGGTCCTATTTTAGGTGGAAGCAGTCTGCTTTCAGCCAAAACTTCATTGAATGTTGCATTGTTTGGACCACTGCGCAGCAAAGCACCCAGCTTCCATTTTAGTTATGTTTTCCTTCAAGCCCTCTTTTAAACCTTAATTTGATCTAAGAATAAAATCTGTATGTTCAAATTTGGCCTCACAGGACCTGTAACAAGTTTATGAATCGCTAGAGGTTTCCGGATTCTGATACACATTGCTTAGCAGTTCCTACAATTTTGGCCCAACTTTGACAAATGATGGCTTCAAAGGTTCAGGGAGAAGCCCTCCACATGACTGGAGCCTTTCTCTCTGGAGTCTGTCGATCCCAAGAATTTCAATGGATGTTAAAGCCACCAACAGTGCATGCCTGTTGTGTGGTTTTCCTTCAAGCCCTCTTTTCTCCCATAAAATTGAGACCTGAACCAAGTCTGCAAATTTGTTTGAGATAAGAACAAGTACCACGAGCAGATTGCAAGGTGAGGGTGGAAGCTTCATTTCCTTCCGCGACAGTCTCTCAGATGCTTCGGATTTCAAGCCCCACAGATTGTGCTTGTGTTGTCTAGTCCATTTCTCATCATAAATGTCATGTTCTTGTTGCCTGACAGAAGGCAGTTCTCTCCAAACCTGTAAATACATAAAAGAATAGCTCTTCTTACTTAAACAATGCAGATTATATTTACAAAGTTGGAAATAAAACAAATTGACATAAATAACACTCCAAAACAATTTATAAGTCTATAACAAGGAAGTCTATACCAAGAAGCAATCAAACAAAGCAGGGGAAAACAATTGGTTATATCTATTCTTAGTCAGGCCTTTATAAGCTAATTACATCCTGAATTTTCTTAGTTAGTATGGTGAGATAGAAAGCCGAATTTTGGCGTGTGGCGAGAAGGAAGTACCTAATGATCCTGCTAAATCAAGTTTAGAGTCAAGACCAAGAATTTAACCAGCTGCCATAAAAGTCAATGCTACTCTGATAATTCTGTTACCAGCTGACTTCAGGGGATGGAATGGGCTTTCAACTTCTTAGCCCTGCTCCTTGCCTTCAAGCGTAGAGTATCAAGGAGCCTGCTGCACGAATGGCACATTCTCCTTCTAGGCCTGACTAATCTGCAGCATTGCAAGGACCGCAGGGTTAGAGAGTATCTGGCTTCCTGGTATGGATTTTTATCTATTTCCCCTCTCTTGCTGGACTGCCAAAGGGATTTGTACTTGTCATGGTACACCCCCGTACAGATTTCCAGCTGCCGGATAATATCTACAATACTCTCCATTCCATCAACAAAGGCAGAAATGTCATGCTCATTGCAAAGCTTTACCATCTTCAGACAGGGAACAAAATTTGTGATGGGAATAGGGACACAGTGCACACTTAAATGGACGTCTCCACAAGTGTTGAAGAAAATTCTGCGTTGGGTACACTTCTCGAAATTTCTTGAGAGCTGCATGGAGTGGATTCCTTTTCCTTCCAAGAGACAAATCCAGTTGGGTTTGAGGCGCATCCGTAGTGCTTCTGCGGCACGAGCCAGCAGCTGGTCTGTCTGTTGGCAGAGAATGCAACTCAATTCAAGATGCAACTGAATAACAAATTATTTGCAATTCATGTAGACATGTGATACTTACTGGGTGATGTGAATTGTCTGGCCTCCCTTTGACTGGAGATATTGCAAGAGGATCCTTAAAAAGAAATAAAAGCACAACACTCAAAAATGGGTGTTGATATTTAAAAAACAAAACAAAAAAAAAACTATGCTACTGCTCTGAGTTAAACATGTCATCGCTTACTTTTTGTCTCTTGTAACTGTTGTTCAGGGGATGACTGACAGGGACCTGGAATGGAAGAATGAATAAAATGTAAGAATAGAAATAACTTGATTAACAAAAATCTGTCTCAATTAGGAAGCTGCTTTCAGAACACTGCCAACTGCAGCTTGCAAAACATTCTGAGAAATTGAATTAAATGAGCTGGTGGTCGCCACACAAAACTATTTTTCATTCTGTCAAAATGTGTCCAAATATCTGATAATAATAAAACAATTCAAACTTGAAAGACACACTCCTGGACACACTAAATAATGTACATATGGTTGTCATATATTCATTCTTTAAAAGAGAACAATGAGTTAAAATTTGTACGAGAAGTTATGAGGGGTGATAGCAGATTTCTTAAACCACATTAAAATAGCAATATGACACCACTTTAGCTTGTGGTCCAATGAGTCCAACACAGTCAGATGTTACCGTCAGGGCTGGGGCTCAACAAACAGAGCTAATTTTGTTGCCGTCCAAGTGGCACATATATATCATACATAGACAAATGAACTCTTGAGTATTGCCTGTCAAGAGAAATAACTGGACACTGATAAAAAGAAAGAGAAGTTGAAACTTACCATGGAGTCCTCGAATAGAAATTGCGAGGCAGTAAGGCTCATCTCAGAGTTCCGTTGATTGTCCACAGAAGTTATGGGTTCCTCTTCAAATGAATGTGAGTCCTGAAACAGGGAAAGACTGAATCCAACCTCTACACTACAAGTCTCCTTTCACTGACTGAAAGTTGCCGACAAAAACCATTTCACTACAAATTTGAGCTGTTGGTTGTGTCAAAGGCTCCGGTGTCAACATACCAAACAAATTTTGTTTCCGTCAAAATGTGTCCACATGCCTCTACATAAAATAAAATGCTTTCAATTGGCCAGGGACTTTCCTCAACACAGAAAATAATAAGCTTTCAGGCTTCAAAAAAGTACGATGACTAAAATTTCTTTTTGACCAGTTGCACTGATTTATAATTCATGACAAAAATTGGCAACATCATTCCAAATGAATGCACCCTCAAAACTTTCTATGGGACCCAGGTAACTAGTTCTCTACACTGTTATGACGAAAGAGAAGTTGCTACTTACTAAACTCTCCTCAAATGTGAGTTGGGATGTAATGAGGCTCATTTCAGATTTAATCGGACTCTCCAGAAAGGTAGCGGACTTCTCTTTGAAGAAATCTGGGTCCTGAAACATAAAGGGTAGAAAGACAACAGTTATCAAATGGTACCATCAAAAAGCGTCAAAATGTCTCAACATAACAAAGACAGTATGTATTTGGCAAGCACACAACTAAAAAAAATAAATTAAATCAGACTCCTCTTGTTTCAAAGGTCACTTAATAATTTCAGAAAAGAATTGAAGAGGCTTCTATGACATGGTACAAACAGGACATTCAAAATGTATGCAGCGACAAGTCTAGACCACAATAACCCCAGCTCCTTTACACTGTTGCAAAGAAAGAGAATTTGAAACTTACCCATGTTTCTTGTGACGCATCGACACTCATCTCTGAATGCAGTGGGTTGTCTTCAGAAGTTATGGGCACCTCGTCAAACGAATGTGAATACTGAAACAAAGCAGGGACCAAAACCAACAATAAACATAAATTGACAGGTGCACATTTGAAAAAAAGGGACGATAACTCCAAATTTTAGTCAACAATTTGAATCAACTAACATGACATGACAAACATGGGCAAATAACATTCCAAAAGTATGCAATGTATTTGACGGAAAGAGGCAATGCATGCTTCTCTTTATCATAAAAATTATGATACAAAAAGGGAAGAAGAAGGCAGAAACTTACCAAATTCTCTTCAAATGAACACTGTGACTCGTTGAGGCTAATCTTAGAATCCAACGGTTTGTCTACAGAACAACTGGGCTTATCTTTAAATGAATGTGGTTCCTGAAATAATAATAAACAAAGGTCAACTGTTATGATTGTAGTTGTAGGCACCTCTGACAAAGAAGACTTTTTGGCCGTGTGATAATTTTATGAAGGTAGTGCAAATTGTCATCAGAAACCTCTGGCGCTTCCAGATCATTGAGAGGAAGCAGGATGTCACCTTTTGAGTTGGTGGTAAAGACACAAAAAAATCATTTCAACGGTCAAAAAGCTTTCAAATGTCTTAATGCAAACAGACGATATGAATATGATAGGTTGAACAAGTCCTGTTTCAAAGCATTAACGGTGAATTAAAGTTTTGAGCAAACATTTATAAAAACTGACTTGACCTGATGAAAATCAAAAAGAACATTTCAAATGTCTCCAGCTGCAAACCGACGACGCACTCTAATGTATGGGAGGCAACGATATCAATATACTTTTTCATATGCTTTGAGAGGAAACATTTGTAGTCAGGTTTTGCAGATGGTGTGCACCATTTCATAAACATAAGACTAACCACAATATTTTTGAGTCCACTGTGGAATATTTATTCCACATCTTCGATGCAAATGCCTTCAATGAAACACTCAATCAATGATCACAGAAAATGTACTCGAGTCATGGGCTACAGTTTAAATAAATCAAGGTCCTGAATACAAAAGAAAATACAGTAACCAAATTCAAAAGATTGAAACAAAGATAACATTGGGAAAACTCTTGGCAAACTTACATGGTTTTCAACTTTGACTTCTGACTTAAGATAAGTGTGACAGCCGTTTGTATCATTGACTGGTATGCTCTGCAGCTTCTGGGGTCGATAAATAAATCCTTCAATGTGTCCTTTAAGGTCCTGAAGAAAGACAGGGAACCAAAGACATGAATCAAAAAAGCCTGTGCCATAGGTTAGATGGACCAAACCTATCATAACCAAATATAAACACAGGCTGGCGTCTATCAAAACGAATCGCGAAGGTCAGCGAAACGATATGAATGAATGCCGAATACATTTGAGCATTGAAACCTCACCCTTAAATGCATCCTCGTCAATATGTGTTTTCGTTTTGAAGTTGTTTTCGTGGTTGTACAGCGGGCGAGCAGAAGACAGCAGATGATCGGAGGCAGACTCTCGCCACGTCAGACACCAGCGCCACCAACCAGAAACGGTACTCGGCCCGAACTAATCACGGTTTACAGTGTCTGTCAAAACACGTTCAAATTTGAATTATGATGTGAGATTTTGAAGAGAAAAAATAACTTCTGCTCCGTATCTGTGACTTCCAGTTAACGACAGCGATCCGAGCGCGCATTAACTTTGGGAGAGCAGTCCTCAACTTCGGTCAACCTTCATATTTAGTCCAGTCCGTGCCTGCCGGCAGAGGTACGTTTGTTATTTGCATTTAGATCATTGTGAACCCCAGTTTTCGATGTGAGCAGGACTGAAATCTGGTGCTCAATGAAATATATTTGTTTGGTGGCCTTTGCTCTGGCTCCAGCAAGTCGATTCCTTTCTTTCGATTCGAATGTTTGGGTGACCTCTAACCTCTATGTTATTGATGCACTTGAAGTCATTGAAACTGTCATCCTAGTGAAAAGTCGTGTCTGTGGGGTCGCCTTTGATTTTGAAGTTGCCCCGGCAGTCTCAAATTCTACCATTTTTAAGTGAGGTTCATTCTGTTGGAGTTTGTTAGTTACAACTAGTTGTTTTGCCAGTGAAGACTGCACTTTTAAATTTCATTTTGATAAAATGCTTCTCCATCTTTAGAACTCCTCGACTGTTTTTGCTGGTTTTCTTTATTTGTTTTCTGCCATTTCAGATGCTGTATCAATTGGAATGACATCCTGTGGAGTGTCTCTGAGTGATGGCTATCTTGACTTGTTCGAGAACTTTTCATCGGGTCTCTGCAGAGTTGCACATTTTTGTGCGGGCTACTTTCTGGTAATAAAAACCTTATGTAGACTTTAAGAATTGGACTTTCCCTGTGGGGAGCTTTCTTTGTAATTAAAGGCTTGATTTGTTTCATTATAGGAACCCCGCTGGATATAACGTTACATAGAATGTGGTTGTCCTTGATGATGTGGTTTCCGCACTGATAAAGGCTGCATTCAGGTATGACTTGAACTCTGTTTTTAAAAAAGTTTATAGTATTTATTCTGTAGAAAAATTCTCATTGTTTTGAAAGACTTGAGGGCTTCCAGCTTGACAATACTTTGTCTATTGCAACACTGTGCTTTTCATTTTCAGTTTAGATACAAATCAAAATGTCAGTGAATCAATGAAGTTAAGTGATTTAGTGGCTGGTAAAAGAAAGAAGATAGAGAGTTGAATGCGAGCAAGGCATATGTAAAGCATGAACTTCATCTGCAATTGACTGAGTGTAAGTTAATGGAGGCCTCCAAGAGAGTGACTAGATTCTGTCGGAAACTAAAATATCTTTCCTTTTTAAGGGCTCTGCACGTCAGCAAGACTGGATCCCTCCAAACAGGATAACTTCTTCACTGGAACAACACTGCTGCACCATTCTTTCTGCTGGCTGCAAGGACTGCGAAGGAGGACATGAGTGATGGAGCGGCAGGCGGAATGTGACCATATCCTTTTCCAGTCTGATGATTTTGGAGGCAATTTTTGGGGTTGATTTTTAATTATGATAAGCTTGGCAGGTCAGAGCTGGGGAGTCGTTTAAATGCTCACCGTAGGCATTGGTGGAGGGAAAGCAGCGTCTCTTATGAACTGCTGCCACAGAGTGGGATATAAATTATTTCTTCTAAATCATAGGGGAACAGGCATTGTCAGTTTATGACAGCATTAGGATGACGCTCTCTATGGACATGGAGGTCGACTCCCATGCTTCGACAGATTTTCTCACCGAGTAGCTGAAAGCCTTCAGTTATCTCACCGAGTAGTCTGTGCCAAGCAGTGTTCATTTTGAGTTGTGTAGGCCACTTGAGTCAGTTGAGATTCAGGTGGAGAGTAATGGGAGGGGCTTGTGGGACTAGTTTCATGGGCGGCACATATAATGTCATAGCTTTCATTGCCTCCATAATTAGTCTGGTTTCAAGTCTGTCATATTTTGTCTGCGCCTTTGGACCAGTCACTTATTTTGGCCCTGTACTAGTCAACAATTCTGCTGTGATGGTATGTTCCAACCTTCATCTTCTGTGAGAGAATCAAATTCTGACCCATGAACAAATTTAACTCTTTTTTTTTGGTGCTGGATTTTTGCCTTTATTTAGCTTTTTGTCCCCTGTAAATTGCAAGGTGGGCTTGCCACCTCAGAGCTTGTTGTGGTGGTTGTGCTAAACGGATTTCTTATCACTGCTTGTTAATTGCTTAGTAGAGCAAGATATTAACTTTTTCTGCAGTTATGAAAAGTAAGCGGATGAGAGAATGGTTTTTCACAGTTTTATAACGATTTAAAAATCAACTGCCTCTTCTGCCTCAATCAAATTATTACTCTCAGCTTGAGGGGAGTGCAGAGAGGGAAAGCAAACATAAAGCAATTATACACTGTTGTCTAAAGGTTTTTAATTTTGGGGAGCGGCAACATTTTAGACATTTATAAGATTTTTTTTAAAACTCCACTGTAACTTTTTTCAGGATTTAATCACTTGTGTAGTCTGTGTGATGAGATTTCCTCCTGCATTTTCTCCTGGTTGCACAAGGCCTCTGATTTGGGGCACATTTCTGTTGTGAGTTTGGAAAAAGGTCTGTGTGGCACAAAGTAAGCAAGTAATGTTTGCCTTGAATTTTGAGTGAGGTGAATGAGAGCACTTATGAGGTAGATATTTATTTTCATTTATCTCTCAATCGTATTGTCGTAGTGGGTCAGACTAAGAATTTATTTCATCTCTGTTTTTTTTATTTTCAGTTTTATTATTATTCACAATTTCACTGTACTCCTTTGATTTTGTGGCTGGTCTAAGAGAGCTGAAAAGGTTGACAGGAAGCAAAAACTTGGTCTCTTATAGACTGAGGGTAAGTTGATGGTGACTTTGGTGGCATGCAAGGGAGTGATACGATTCTCTTTGGAACTCTCATCACTTTTCTTTTTTAGGGCTCTGCTTGTCTGTATGACTGGATCCCTTCCAACTAGAACAAGACTGGCTGCACCTCTTTTAATCTTTCTGCTGGCTGCAAGGACTGCGAAGGAGGACATGAGTGATGGAGCGGCAGGCGGAATGTGACCATATCCTTTTCCAGTCTGATGATTTTGGAGGCAATTTTTGGGGTTGATTTTTAATTGTGATAAGCTTGGCAGGTCAGAGCTGGGGAGTCGTTTAAATGCTCACCGTAGGCATTGGTGGAGGGAAAGCAGCGTCTCTTATGAACTGCTGCCACAAAGTGGGATATAAATGATTTCTTCTAAATGATAGGGGAACAGGCATTGTCAGTTTATGACAGCATTAGGATGACGCTCTCTATGGACATGGAGGTCGACTCCCATGCTTCGACAGATTTTCTCGCCGAGTAGCTGAAAGCCTTCAGTTATCTCACCGAGTAGTCTGTGCCAAGCAGTGTTCATTTTGAGTTGTGTAGGCCACTTGAGTCAGTTGAGATTCAGGTGGAGAGTAATGGGAGGGGCTTGTGGGACTAGTTTCATGGGCGGCACCACTCTAAAAAATAATATAGGATTTTGTAACGATTTTGATACAAAATTCTGTAACACGTCAGTCTGATACAAAAATTTGTATCCTTGATCCTAAATTCTGCATCACGTCAAGAATGTTACGAATTTACGAATCAGTGCTTCAGAATTCTAAAACTGATACAAAATTCTGTACTTTTTGTTTCAATATTCACAATCAGTGATACAGTTCCATGTAAAAATGCGATCTTAATGCAAATAACTGTAACTGATACAGAAAACTGTAACATGTTGTTACAAGTTTACATATCGTCTGATGCAAAATTCAATAACGCAAATTTAAGGTCAAATTAGGAGCTTAATTTTTTACATCACAGTTGATCGGGCGAAAAGTCCTAACGTAGGGCATGGTACTTAAGAAGCTTCGGGCCAGGAACTCTAACTGTCGCGCCGCAGGGCTCGTTTCCCACCACTACCTGGGCATGCAGCGTGCCCGCTCGGTGTGACCGACAGTCTGAGGCGTGCCTCCCCATGCGGCGCTGTGGCGCAAGCGGTAGCATGCCGAGCTGGCAATCCGGGGGACCGGGGTTCGATTCCGGAGAACGCAGTTCGATTTCTCCGGGTGTTCGGGAGTACAGGAGCAACGGAGCGAATGTGTAGAAACGAACGACCGTTATACGATTCAAATTTTGTTTTTAAAACGTCAAATTTTTATGATTTTAGCATTGCAGAATTCTGTAACCGGGAAACAGTTTACCGTAACGCGTGATACAAAATTTTGTATCAGTGTTGATACAAAATTCTGTAACATTTGTAGTTGAAATTACTGCGTAACCATGTTACAAAATTTTTTAACTTTCATTGCCTCCTTAATTAGTCTGGTTTCAAATATGTCATATCCTTTTCCCGTCTGATGATTTTGGAGGCAATTTTTGGGGTTGATTTTTAATTGTGATAAGCTTGGCAGGTCAGAGCTGGGGAGTGGTTTAAATGCTCACCGTAGGCATTGGTGGAGGGAAAGCAGCGTCTCTTATGAACAGGCAGTGGCAGACTGCGCTTGTAAATGAAACCAATTTTTCATACTTGGTGTGTCCGTTCCATGTTCTTAAGTGGCCATTTCAAAGTGGTGGCTCCACCCCTTACCGTCCGTTTGCGAGGAAAGGCGTCACTGCAGTGCATAAACATTTGCTCTGTGGTGCATGCACCCTTCCTCACGATCGCGGGTCTGACACTTGCTGCGTGCACCACACTGCGAGGTGAGGTCCATGCGCCTTCTGCCTGGCGTTTTCCTGGGTGCTTATCACCCCTTCTTCCTTGGTGAGGGAGGGCCGCCGCTGCAGTGCATGCACTTGCTCTGTGGTGTGCCGAGCCCTCCGCACCGGCACGGATGCGGCGTGCTGCGTGTGCCAGCTTGCTGGCCTCCAGCAACGACAGCGTCTTTAGAGCTCCTGTCCTCGCGACCAATTATGCAAGCAAAAATGCGGATGAAGCGTGCGGTTTTGCGTCCCCACGCGCGTGCCGATCACCCGAGCAGGGGTACCCGTTCCCGGCAGGGGTGGCCTTGCTGCAATGGTGACACGCGTGTGGGAGGTCGTGGCGTGCGGCGGCCTGCGAGGCGTCGTCTGCCTAGAACCACCCAATGCGACCATTTTGCGTGCCAATCATACAAGCGTGCGGTTTTGCGTCCCCACGCGCGTGCCGATCACCCGAGCAGGGGTACCCGTTCCCGGCAGGGGTGGCCTTGCTGCAATGGTGACACGCGTGTGGGAGGTCGTGGCGTGCGGCGGCCTGCGAGGCGTCGTCTGCCTAGAACCACCCAATGCGACCATTTTGCGTGCCAATCATACAAGCGTGCGGTTTTGCGTCCCCACGCGCGTGCCGATCACCCGAGCAGGGGTACCCGTTCCCGGCAGGGGTGGCCTTGCTGCAATGGTGACACGCGTGTGGGAGGTCGTGGCGTGCGGCGGCCTGCGAGGCGTCGTCTGCCTAGAACCACCCAATGCGACCATTTTGCGTGCCAATCATACAAGCGTGCGGTTTTGCGTCCCCACGCGCGTGCCGATCACCCGAGCAGGGGTACCCGTTCCCGGCAGGGGTGGCCTTGCTGCAATGGTGACACCCGTGTGGGAGGTCGTGGCGTGCGGCGGCCTGCGAGGCGTCGTCTGCCTAGAACGACCCAATGCGACCATTTTGCGTGCCATAATCATACAAGCGTGCGGTTTTGCGTCCCCACGCGCGTGCCGATCACCCGAGCAGGGGTACCCGTTCCCGGCAGGGGTGGCCTTGCTTCAATGGTGACACGCGTGTGGGAGGTCGTGGCGTGCGGCGGCCTGCGAGAAGTCGTCTGCTTCGAACCAGCGTTACACCCCCCACCCCACTGCAACCCATTTGCGTGCGTGTGTCCTCGATCCTAGAAGGCAGTAAGGTACCCTACGTCGCCTCGGTGACGACAATTGCGATGCACCCTTCGAGTGCTGAGTCCGTGCAACTCCTTACAATCTCAACTGCTACTTTGCTGCGTCTTTCAAGACGCTGAATTCTGTGGGTCCGGGTGTGCTCGGCACCACTGCTTCTCTGTCCCCACCCTCCTTTCAAGGAGAAACCCGTCCAGCACACTGACGTCGACGTGCTGGGCAAAAGAGTATAGGGCTATCGCGCTGAGAGAAATTCGTTAAAATGTGCCTACAACGCGTCCAGACTTAACTTAAAGTCTAGTCGTGGGCGACCAACTTTTATCCGTTGGCACGAACGATTTTTCTCAGGGCGGCAGAGGCGTGCGAAAGGGGGTTGGGGTCCCCTTCAACTTCGCTCGTCTCTGTTGGCGATTTCTCTGAAAAACGAGTGGGCTGACTACCGCAAGGTCACTTGGAAACGTCAGCGAAAGCAGTCAGGGTGTCGAGCAACCTGGGGACCAGTCAGAAACTCAGCCTCTCACGGCGCAGGACGAGACAGACCGAATCCAGCGCCAAAACCGTGGAGGTAGACATCCCCTCGAACAAGAGACCCTCCCGTAACTACCTTAAACAAAACAGAAGTGGGTCGGCGGCACAGCGCGCTGCTTTCTCGCCGCGAGGCGTTGCTTGGCCTCGCTGCGGGCGTCGCCGCGTGCGTGCCACCTTTAAGCCCATGAACAACTGTTCCCCACGACCGGTGGGTAGTTCTGACCGTATTACGAAGAGAGCGGAAAAAAGTCCACCAGAGAGGTTTTTTTTTGTAGGGTACGAAAAATGAGCTGCTCGGGAGACCACCCTGATAATCGAGGAACGTGACGTTACGTTCATAAGATCGTGAATCGTGTCACGTTACTTTGAATACTGTGTCACGTTCGTTTTCAACGTGTGTTGGCTGCGCCCAGGCGCCAACTACTGCCGTCACACCGAAATGAACGTGACACGGTATTCCAAGGAACGTGACACGATTCACATAGATTTGAATATGGCGTCTTGTTCCCTGAATATCAGTATGGTGGTGATTCAGGTGTGCCTCCGCTTTTGAGCGCATTGATTTAATTCACTGCAAATAATGCAAAGGCGATACTGAAGTACATTTTTCGGCGATCCAATTTAATATTGCCAATAATCGGCCTTACGGAAATGTATTGCCTTCAGAACGGCGATACATAGAAGTATCGCCAATATTTGGCGATACTTTTTGTTATCGCCAAAACCACGGCATTAAACTAAGAACTTGTCCCCTTGATTTGTTCAACGTTTATTGCCAAATTGTGGCAATACTCCGAAGTATCGCCAAATTTTGGCGATACATTTGTGTATTGCCGTTTTGAAGGCAACACTTTTCTGTAAGGCCGTTCATTGCCAATACTTAATTGTATCGCCTAAAAAAGTACCAAAAGTATTGCCATTGGATTGACAGTGTTGATGCACTGAAAATCCAAAGTATCTATCTGTAAGGGCGAACAACTACATTATTCCTGATGGAAATTTTATTTAGGAGATTTGTATCTGATGCCACGCGAATATTTATAAAAATGCTACGGGTTATATCTGATTAGAATAACAGCTGATGAGATTTCATGTAAATCGGCGATAGGTAAAATAAGAGCGTTATACCTGATGAGAATCATACCTGATGAAATGTACACGAAAAAGGGTCTGAAAAAAAAAAAAAACTTTCATCTGTGCTGAAAGCGGACTTTCAATTTGTATGTGTTCCATTGTTCAGAAAGGCTTTGCGCCTCTCTGAGTTGCGGAGACGCGCACTTTCAGTGCGAGATTTGGTAGCGAGTGATGCTCCAAGTGCTCGTGCACGTTGTCGTTGTCAGTCACCAAGGAGTTCCCCCGTGACTGCTTCAACGCCTTACCTGTGGTTGCACGCGGGCGAACCGGCGTCCAGCCCGGTGGGTAGGCAACCCATCGTGCAGGCTGCGGTGACCGGTGGCGGCGATACCCCTTGCTGCCGATTTTCGCTCCCACCCCCACGGGTCAGGAGGATGGCGTTAGGACACCGCGAAACAACGAAGGAAGGTTGATTTGTATTTTAAATTCCACTTTTATTCTATAATGAGGGCAGGTCCGTGCGGAAGCAAGTTAGCGTCTCTGCTGCCGGAGAGTCAGAAGTTAGTCCCATCGAGTGCAAGCGAAGGCCAAATGGGTCCAGTCTCTATTTTCGAATTATTTTCTTAAATTAGGAACAAGTCCGCCGAGTGCAGGTCCGAAGGTACCTGCCCTGACAGCAACAAGAACAAAATAAAAATTAATTAATAAATAATTTTCGAAATTAAAAATTAAATGGAAAATAGAAAAAACTATTTTTTATTTAGTTTTTGTTTTCCTGGGACATGCGCCGTCCGGACTTGCTCTCGCGCCCGAAAGCAAGTTCGGACCAGACCTCAGAAACATGTTCGTTTGAGAGCCAGTTCGTTGCGACTCCATGATTATAATGGAAAAAAATTATGAAATTACGATTTTATCTGTAAATTTACAGTGAACTTCTGTCATTTTACTAAGTTATTCGTGAGGATTACAGTCATCATTGCACAACATCTGTTAACCGTGCACAGAATATTGACAAGAGGGCAACGAAGAATGGCCACACGTAAACAGAATTTTCCGGAGCGTTTTTGCACATTGAATGCTTACGATAACGTTTTTATGCCCTTCAGAAATAAGTTATGGATCCCAATCGCAAGCGTCGACCGAGTTATGTCCGACGCATTGTAAGTGTAGATCACACAGTGTCAGACGGCTGGAAGGTGGAAGGTGCTTCCACAGGAAACAATTTGTGATTTGCCGAAGAGCAGTCGACACTTCAGTTTCGAACACAACTGGTCGACACTTGCAAGCGTAGGCCAGATTGGTCTACGTCTACAAGTGTCTACTTGTCCTGCACTTGGATTGGCAGTGGAGAATAAGGTGACCACATTTTAGGTCTCAATTTAGTGAATTCACCTCACGTTCGATTTCAGTGCACAAGTAGAGTTGAAGGGAACTTTGGTGTCAAGGTTCACGGCTGAGGGTGGCCAACTCCAGATTCTAACGAACGAATCCATATTTTTTCAAAACTTGAATGGGACGAGAATCTGAAGGACCGTACCCAGCAGGCACCCTCATTCACCCCTTAACCTATTGCCGCTTAGGACGACGCACATGGAATACTCCTCTCCCCCTTTCTCCTTTTCTTCTTTTTTTCCTTTCCTACTCTTTTCCCCTTTGCCTTTCCCCCTCCCTCACCCACCATCGCGACCACCCACCCACCCCAAAACAGGGTCTGCGGCCGCAGACCCTGCACCCACCTGTTGGCGCCACTGAACAGGCCATTTTTTCAGGATGCGCCTGGGAAACCCGGACGTTGTCTTTGCCGTGAGTTTCAAGATAACGATTTCAATTTCAACGTGAAGCACTAGTACACTGTGGCAAAAAGGTACGGAAAATTCTGTTTATTTTTTTGCCAGGATTCTCCGTAGCTCTCTTATCAATATTCTCCGTAGGCTCTTACAGTATTCTCCGTAGGACCGCACAGTCTTTTCCGTAGGACCTGGAAGACTGTGCGGTCCTACGGAAAATACTGTAAGAGCCTACGGAGAATCCTGACAAGGTGGGCTACGGAGAATTACTACAAGCTGGTTACAGAATTTTCCGTAGCTTTTTGCCATAGTGTGGTATTGACAAAATACCTTCGAAAACAGTTCAACACGCGCTAGCGCCCCTTCGGAATGGGACCGTCCCTTTAAAATCATAGGGATTCTTTCCCTTGGGCTGCTTCCTGTTCCAGAACTCCAAGTATGCAGCCGAACTAACCAAGCTGGAGAAAACGGCGGCCGCGCTGCCCGCGGAGTTCGACCAAGACTGGGTCAGCACCAGCTCCAAGGTGCGCTCGAACCGCATCTCGGCGCAGAACGCACTGCTCAAAGACCTGCCCTCGGCCGAGGCCAAGGCCGCCTTCAACAAGGCCATCGCCGCGCTGGAACAGACCGCCGCCAGGGGGCAGACGTTCCTCACTGCGTTCAGGAAGCAACAGGGCACGCAGTTCACCGCCCTGGCCAACAAATACCTGAACCTCGCAAAGGTGCGCTGAAAAAGAAATCTTTGAAAAGTAACGAGAAAAGTTTGGGTAATGTGGCTGAGTGGAATCTAGACAGTGTAAGCACTCGCTTAAAAAAGCCTCTCGTAAAGGGTCT